CCGCATTCAGCCACAGCGAGGCTAGGCGCTTTGCCTTGGGAAGCGGCTGTAGGCTCAAGACAGCTGGCTCCTAGCCAAGGAGATTTGCAGCATGAACAGGAGAAATCCCACTTTGTCAGGTCACCTGGAAGGCAGTGCTGTGGAGAGGCTGGGGGCTGGGTGAGCACGTGGGTCAGGGAGCGCCATCATGGGGGCTGGAGCCCCGGCCAGGAGATGCTGCCGAGTTCCTGACCTTGGGACGGATCTCTGTGGATCAGACTATCCAGCTGCAAAGTGCCGCACCCGCCCCTGCCCTGGTTATTTTTACACTGGCTCTGCAGAGCGTGCCACAGCTGAGCTATGTGCCCATTTTTGTTGTTTTCTCTAGTCCTGCTAGATTGGCGGTGGGGGGGGGGGTAAAAAAAGATCTTCCAAATGCCATGGCAGTGAACACACAACCTACTTCCTGGAGTAGCAACTCCCTTCTCTTTCCCTCCCCAGGGCACCGTAAGGATGCAGAATGCATTTGTGTCTGGGGACCACCTACATTCCAATATGCAAATAGCTTGAGGCAGTATTTGGACCCCACAGTGGAAGCTGCCGGGAGTGTCACGCAGGTTCCAGCTAGGCAGGTGAGCTGAGTGGCCGGTCCCCTGGGGTAGGCTGCACTCAGATCTCAGGAGACCCCTCCAAATAAGGGTAGGAACAAAACCCGGGGCAAGTCAGGATTTAGAGGAAACTTCTAGAGGCCTTTCTGGAAGCAGGAAGAGGAGAGGAGGAACCTGGCTTTCTCAAACATCTGAGAAGCAGAAGAAAACCCAGCAGCTGGTTTGGGAATCAACCACTCTTACCATCAGTCACAGAAGTGGAGGGCAGTCGGTGACACTGGTTTGGTCCACAGGCAAGGGACAGGCTGGGAAACCTAAGTACTGGCTGGAAACTGATGCTGTTTATTTCCAAGTCCAGTTTAAGTCTGCCTATGCGAGGGGCCCAGTTTTCCTGGGATCTGGAGTTGGTCTCCTCGGGTGAGGGGGTCTCAGAGAGAGGGCTCCGCCTCTGTGTGCAGCAGCAGGTTGGACCCTTGAAGCAGGGACTCCTCCTAATTCACCGGACAAGGAGGCCCCCGCTGTTACAGTCAGCTTTACCACCCCCCCCACCCCCCCCCCCACCCCCCCCCCCCCCCCCGCCACCACACTGATGAGAAAGCAAGCTTAGGGCCATCTTCAGGGCCAATGGGGCCTGAGGCCACACCCACAGGTGGCAGGACCACAGGGAGGGGTGTGGCCTGTCAAGACACACCCACCTGGATTGCCAGGAAGTGAGGAGACCGTTCACAGAGGAGACATCCTTCAAATGCTTCTGTCCAACCTCTAAAAAGAACAGGAGCACCACACTGCCCCATTGTGTCTGGCAAACGTAGGCTTTCAATAAAGGCTTTTTATGGTGACTGCAGCCATGAAATTAAAAGATGCTTGTTCCTTGGAAGAAAAGTTATGACCATCGTAGACAGCATATTAAAAAGCAGAGACATTACTTTGCCAACAAAGGTCCATCAAGTCAAAGCTATCGTTTTTCCAGTAGTCCTGTACGGATGTGAAAGAAGTGATGCTTTTGAACTGTGGTGTTGGAGAAGACTCTTGAGAGTCCCTTGGACTGCAAGGAGATCCAACCAGTCCATCATAAAGGAAATCAGTCCTGAATATTCATTGGAAGGACTGATGCTGAAGGTCCAATACTTTGGCCACCTGATGTGAAGAACTGACTCATTTGAAAAGACCCTGATGCTGGGAAAGATAGAAAGCGGGAGAAGAAGGGGACAACAGAGGATGAGATGGTTGGACGGCATCACTGACTCAAGGGACATGAGTTTGAGTAAACTCTGGGAGCTGGTGATGGACAGGGAGGCCTGGCATGCTGCAATCCATGGGGTCACAAAGAGTTGGACACGACTGAGTGACTGAACTGAACTGAAAGGCTTTTTGAATATCAGTGCCTGAAGAACCTGAAGGGAGATCTAGCAGCATGTTCCCAACTAAATAACCTGGGGAGAGAGACCCAAATCACCTCCCAGAGACTGACAATGCATACTTACATATTCATGGGACTGAGTTGCCCTGACTTCAAGAAATCTGTTTTCTTAGTGCTTCTCTAACGTATTTGCCTGCTGGACAGTTTCTCATGAATTGCTAATTCGCCTATCCACCAAGAAGTAGTGCTGGAAATACTGAGCTAGTGCCACCTCCTCCTCCAAAGGATGAAATGGGGCCCAGAGGAAGTGGGCAATTTGCCAGAAGTCACACAGCACACTAGTGGTGGAGTTTAGAACGACACTTAAATTCCCCAGCTTTCAGCTCCGCATTCTTTTGATCTGTGCCATTAAGCATTTGTATCCTCCTGATTCTTGAGCCAGGCAGGACATAAATGACCTTCTGCATGACCTAGAAAGCAAGGACCAGGTTAACAAAGAATCCAGATTAATCCACATCAATCCTGATTACAGGGGCAACGGTTCATCTACACAAGACCTTTTGTACTATTTACCTAAGGTTCTTCCCTCTTCCTTAGAATTAGTCCCTTTGGTCCTTTGCTTGGCAATCCTGGGGGCAGATTTCTGAGGCCCGTGTCATGCCAATACCACTGGAGTTCTTTAAACAAAGTCTCTTATCCAGATGCCCCCCAAAGCCCTTGGGTTATCTGAAGTCAAGGAGGATTTGTTCTTCTGCATCTTTGGGCGCTGGGTAGGGGAAGTGGTAAGTGCAGAGGTCAGCAACTTGCTTGTGCATCAGAGCTGTCCAGGGCTCCAGCAGCTGCTCCTGGGGCAGGGTCTGCGGGGGCTCCCTGCTGGGCTTCTCAGTTCCTCCTTCCAGGGTCTCACAGCACTGGTTTTATACTGGGCAGGTACTGGACCACCTGAGCCCATGTCATTGTCCGCACTGAGCTCAGAGACCCAGAAGCAGGCTAACAGGCAGTTGGACAGCCCCGTCCCAAGCTGGTCATGGTGGAGGGGGAAAGAGGCCCAGAAAGCACGTGGGACTCGTTCAAGGTCACACAGACAAGCACGTCAAGGTCATCATCTCAGAGGTGGAGAATCTGGGACTGTTGGAGCAGGAGAAAGCCCCTGCTTCCTGGCTCCAGGGCACCCCTAGAGGGGAAGCCACTTTCCCAAACTAGTGCCAGGCGTTTCAGCTCTCAGCCTGACAGTAGTTCCATTCATGGGGGATGGCACGCCCGTCCTCCTTCCCGTGAAGCTGGGGCTGCTGGCTGCATTGGTGACGAGGTCTGGAGCTAGCTCCCAGCCCTCCATCCCTCTTCGGGTGGGTGACTGCCTGGCTGGGTTCTTCCCCAGCGGGCGGGTCTGAAGCACAACGGCCAGCCAAGGGGCAGATGGGACCTGATGTGAAATCTCCAGCCCCGTCCCCGCCCTGGGGCATGCGTCACCAGTTTCTAGGGGAGAGCCTCGAAGGGTGGGTGAGGTGAGAGTCGGCCTGGGAGACCTAGAAACCCAGCAGGAGGACAGGGTGGGCTCTGCAATGGGATGGGGGCGGGCAGGGCACCACGTCCTGAGCGGGCTGCCTTTTCTCCACGTGCGATGGTTGTCCTGCTGACCCCGCTCTCTCTCCCCCCTTGAAGACCGGGCACTGGGTCTTCGTGGGGCTTCGTGAAGGTGTCTGATCCGTGGGGTCATCCAGATGTCCTGAAGGGGGACATCTGGCAAGGGGAGGCTGTGTGCCAGGGTCCTGGGCCAGAAGGGACCACTTGGTGAGGAAAGATTGAGGCCTTGGAGAGGGAGGTGGGCAAGGGTGTGGACTCAGCCTGGGGTCTCAAGCTGTGGGCTTCCTGGGTGAGGTCCAGACCCACCCCCAAGGGAGTCTGCAGGCAGAGGTGACTGGGCACGGGCCGTGGGGGAATCCCAGGCTGGGACACACCTGTCCCCATGGTGGGCCTGAGAGAGGGAAGTCCGCAGAGGCTGCTTTGAAGCTTCAAGAGTCTTTCCCTTCATTGACTAAATCACGGCCCCCAGCTGAAGCCAGCATCCCCAAACGCACTGCAGCCAAGCATGGAGCTCTGTTGCAAAGAAGGTCCCTCTCTCCCTCCCCACATGCTATAGCAAGAGAAGGCCTGCACTATCCCAGAGTGCAGCTGACACCGCGTGGCTCTCTAGCCCCTCAGGACAAGTGGATAGAGCTTGCACTACGTCTCTCCGGAAAGTGTATATCGATTACTTAAGGAGTCCTCTGACTTCTCCACTGACTTCTGTGACCATGGCTCTTCTTTTGGGACTGGTTTTGCACAGAATGTGGCTTTATGCTAAACCTCAGCTTGCAGGGAATCTTCCCTTGTCCTCTTTTTAAGTAGGAAATCACAATCTGCAGACCAACACTAAAATATAGAAAGGGCTTCCAAGCCAAAAAAAAAGTTCCCCGGGTGACTGTCGTAAAGTGCTGGGGAGGATGGTTCTCCAGGCAGTTTGTTGGTGGGATTTAGGGTCCTGGACTGTCACCACGGAGTCAAGGGCCTGTCCCAGAATGCAACTGGCGGAGGTGGTCTCCCCCTGCCTAGATGCAAGCTTGCAGGTCTGGTTACTTTCAGGTTTTGGGTCTGTGTATCCATCCTTTATCTGGGTCAGGGGCCGGGGGTGGTCTGCATGTGCTCCTCCTCCAGAGAGAGCTGAGATTTAAACTGTATATAGTCTTTCCCCAACCCCCAGTGACAGTCAATTCCGTGGCTCCCCAGAAGTCCAGGCAGAAAGGAATCTGGACATTCTCGAGACCTAGTCCAACTCCCTCACCTCGCCCACTTCTTTTACGGGTGGGGACACTGAGGCCCAGAAAGGAGGTGGGGCTGGCCTAAAGTCACACAGGAGGGTGGTAGCAAAGCTGGCGTTGAATTCAGGCCTCCCGATTGCCAGTCTGGGACTCCTTCTAGCAGCAGTGTATTGGCTATAGTTTTCAGGAGTGCCTCTTACCAGCCCACGGGGCTCCCCTCCCTCTCCCACGCCACCCCAGCCTCCCCAGCGCCCCTTACACGTCATTCGGGTTATAGCAGAGCATATTGAACTGCAGGTTCTCGTCCCAGTGCCGCAGGAGCACGAAGAGCTGGCGCGCGGCGGCCTTGAGTGTGTCCTGCGTGCGGCCCTCTGGCACCTCCTGCTGCTCCAGCCACGAGCTGGCCTTGGCGGCCACCAGCTCCCACTCAACGAAGTAGGAGGCGGAGCTGTGCTCCAGCCATGCCAGCGCCACCACAGTGGCCCACAGCTTCCCCACGTGCTCCGCCACAGCCCTGGGCTCCTGGCCCGGCCTGCCCTCGGCCAGGGGCTCCTGGGAGGGGGGCAGGGGCGTGGGGCTGGCGCACGGCTGGGGGCTCGGGGGCTGGCGGGCGGTGAGCGACACCCGGTGGTAGGTGAAGGGCGAGGTCCACTTGAGCTTTTCCATGGGGACGCGGACGGCCTCACAGAAGGCTTGGTTGAGCAGGAAGGCCCCGGAGGCCCGCTGCAGAGACACCTGTGTGTGTGTAGGGGGAAGCCCTTCAGTGGGCCTCATGCTTTTCAGCCCACGGAGCCCCAGGCCACGGCTGAGCCTGGGCGCATGGAGCGCACCTCTTCCCCTCCCCCGGCCAGCTCGCCCTCCCCACCCGTGGGATTTGCGGGACCCCCAGACCAGCCGGGCATCGTCGCACCTTATCCCGCTGGTGCTCACACTGATGGCTGTCCCAAGTCCAGTTCAACGTCTTCACTCCAAACCTGCCTCTTGCCCTGGGCAGCTGGACCCGCCTCAGCCCCTTGGACCATGCACTGTGGTCCAGGCAGCTCACCACCAGCTTCCTCCCTCCGTCTCCATTGGTTTCCGAGTTCCAGTGAGCCCACTCTCCAGACGGCTCTGCCGTCCGCCATCTGCCACTTCGTGCTGCCCCTGACCCTCCTTACCGCCCCTGTCCGCCCACCCCCACCCCATCCTTTCCGCGTCCTGAGGGGTCTCTGTAAGGCACCGGGCACGTCACTCTTTAAGGCCATCCACTCGGTAGTTTCCGTTTTCTTCGGGGATAAATCCAAGCTATAACCCCCAGGGCTCTGTTCGTGCTGGACTCTTGCCCCTCGCCACCGTTCCCCAGCCCCCAGGTGCCCTCCCTCCTCTGTAAACCGCCAGCCACGACTCCTTGCCCTTCAGAAGTGGTGCTTACCCATGGCATCCTCCCAGAAGCCATGCCTCATGTCTCCCCATCCTCAAGCCTGCAGTCGGTGTCTCCTCCTTCCCTCATTCTCCCCCCAGACCCCGTGTCTCCCGTCACGGCACCCAGCGGTCAGAGCTGCCTGGTTCGAGAGGTCCCCACTAGACTCTGAGCGACTGGAGCTCAGAGACCACCCTCACCTGCTTCAAGGTTATCTCCCAGGGTCTAGCACGGTGCCTGACAACAGATCCTTGTGACTACACGCCTCCTGCTCTATTGTCCAGGATGTTTGGAGACTCCAAGTGACCATAAGCACTTGGGTGTGCAGGGGCTGGGACAGGGCAGGGAAGCTCCCACCATCTCCATCTTTCCAGCACCTTCTTTCCCCAACTTGGCTGAGCCCCAGACGTGGCAAGACCAGGCTCCCTTGCTCCTCAGTTCAGAGACACTCACTCCTGGCCGGGGCTCCTCACCCTGCCCCACAGGCTGGCGTGTCTACAGAGCCATTTGCTAAACACGGTGCATGTCCCTGGGGTGTTCTTTTTACTTGCTGGTGACTCATTTCAAGCCTTTTTTTTTTTTTTACATATTGAAAAACAGACACACATGGGTGGTGGAGTAGGACGCAAGATTCCCGGGAATTTTTGAAGCCAAGACAGCAGATTGCAAAGAATGGCTGTGGTGCTGACACTGGGTTTTAGCAGCCCTCCTCCACCCCCGGCGGGGGCCTGGGCACACTCCCTCCACTCCGCTGCTGTGTGGGCAGGGAGGTCTAGGTCTTCTTCCCTTTGTGGAGGCGGAGGGGTGGGTGGCCCTTCCGCTGCGTGTGGGGCTGAGGTCTGGGGTCTGGGGCACTCACCAGTGGGATGTAGTCAGAGCTTTGGTTCCCCGGGGCTGAGTCTGGAGTCTTGGTCAGCGGTTTGCCCAGGAAGCCCTTGGCCGCTCGTGTCAACAGCCTAGACTTGTTGAGACTCAGCCTGTGTGGGAAGAACTGAAGAGTGACCGCCGCCGTCCCAGGGGTGTCCCTGGTCCCCCCACCCCTCCCAGAGGCCCCACAACAGCCTCTGAAAGTCCTGGCCAGAAGGGGCCTGGCCGATGATCTCCTCCTTTGACAGCGGGGGAAACTGAGGCCCAGGAAGTGTGTCTACCTGAGGCTACTAATCGAGTGAGGGGCGAGGTGGTACTCTTTTTAGGACCCTCTTTATTTAAAAAAAAAGTTTTTGATTGGAGGGTAATCGCTCTACAATGCTGTGCTGGCTTCTGCCACATGTCAACATGAATCAGCCACAGGCATCCATCTGTCCCCTCCCACCCGAGGGCTTCCCAGGTAGCGCAAGTGGCAGAGAACCCGCCTGCCAATGCAGGATCATAAGAGACGCGGGTTCGATCCCTGGGTGGGGAAGACCCCTTACTGGAGGAAATGGCAAACCACTCCAGTGTTCCTGCCTGGAGAATCCCATGGACAGGGGAGCCTGGCGGGCTACAGCCCATGGGGTCGCAGAGAGTCAGACACGGCTGGGCACACACACTCCTCTCTCTTGACCCTCCATCCCATCCCAGGACCCTCTTTTGACAGCATGTTCTCGGTCAGCCCAGTGGTCAGACAGTCACATGCCAGCCCTCCTGGGGGGACCTGCATTTGTAAAGAGACGGTGGAGGTGTGGGAAGGGAACCTGGGGCTGGGGAGGTTTCAGAAGTGTTGACACCTGAAGACGGTGCTGTCTCTGGGCAAGGGTCCTTTCTGCCACCCTTCAAAGTGTTCACGTTTGTGCAGCTGTCAGGCTGGGCCTACCTCTGGCCCCCCAAACCAGGGACAGTCCCCTGAAAATGGGGTGGCGGTAGAGGGATCCCCCAGTGGAAATCCCCACGTACCTGGATCCAAAGAGAGTGTCTGAGGCCTTCAAGGAAGAAAGGGTGTTGGTAGTCAAACCTCGCAGGGGACCTGGAGAGCCACAGAATGAAGATTAGGACCTGAGAGATGACCTTGTCCCACTGCTCACCGCCCCGCTGGGGGAACCGCTGGGGAAACAGAGTCCCAGAGAGGGGCAGGGGCTTGCCTACATGCCTAGGGATCCCGGCTAAGGATGATGCTGCAGGGCTATTTCTGACCCAATGGGCATGGGGAGGGGTGAGAGATGTGGGTTCCTGGGTAAAGAAGCAGCCCTCCAAGCCCCCTTGGCTGGCGGCCCTTGCATTTTCTGGAAGTTTACCTGTGGGGACAGTGACAGCTGCAGGTCAACCCCCACCTCAGCCCCAAGCAGGGACACTGACTTTCTTCTATGGGCACACTGCTAGAAGATTCTCGGCAGAGTGATGTGGGAGACTGCTCCTTCAGCTGGGAATTGGGAGGCCTGATTCCTGGCCTAGCTCTGTCACCAACTTGCTGTGTGACCTTGGGCAAGTCATTCCACCTCCTCGGAGTCTCCGTTTCCTTCCTTTAAGCTTTAATACTATCGATCATGCATGGAGCTGTTTGGAGACTCAAAGAACCACCAAGGACTTTGTTGGGTTAAGACACTCTCTCGGCCCAGAGATCAGTTACTATTTTAACTCAAGGGAGAGCTGGCAGGGACTTCCCTGGTGTGGTCCAGTGGCTAAGACTCTGCACTCCCCAGGCAAGGGGCCCCCGGGTTCCATCCTTGGTCGGGGAACTAGATCCCAGGTGCTGCAACTAAGACCTGGCACAGCCAAGCGGGTAAATAAATATCAAAATAAAAAAGGGAGCGCCGGCAGACGGCACGCTCACCTTCAGGAGGAGCGTGCTTGTCGCGGGCCGTGTTCTCACCAAAGGGCGCCGGGGCGCTTTCCTCCAGGTCTGCAACAGAGAAGCCAGTGAGGCCTGAGCTACCTGGCCCTCCCCCTCGCACCTCCAGGACCCACGAGGAGGATGCGGGTCGGAATTCACAGTACCTGGCGGGGGACTGGGAGAGCAATGTCCCAGTTCCCATGCTACTTGGATGGATCTTCACCTCCCAGAGATACCGCCATGGCTGCACCACAAGAGTTGGGCATGCCTGGGTTCACATCCCAACCCTCCCAATAGGGTAGCTGTGTGACCCCAGGGAAAGTTACTTCCTTTATAAGCTTCGATTGCAAACCGGGGCTAATAGTATGGCTTGGTGTTGTTGTAGGATTAGATGAGATAATATACAGATAGTGCTCAGTGCTTGGCCTGTGGTATGCAATCCACAAAGCCCCGAGCTATGGACTCAGCAGGTTGGTGGGAGCAGGTTGGAGGCCCGAGGGTGGTGGTTGGAGGTGGTGGTGGGGTGGGGGGAGGTAGGTTCATGTCAGCTCTTCAGGAGGCACCAGAACATGGCTTTGACTTGTCAGAGGGCTCTGAGCTTCAGTTTCCCCATCTGTAAAGTGGGATACCAATCGCACATACTGTTCGCTCAAAATGTGTACTGGGGTGATTATTCCTATGATTGTTATTTAGCAGCTGGAGAGTGGTGGCAATGTACTATTCAGGAATGACCCAAATTACGGGAGAGGCTTCACGCACAGATACGACCTGCCGAGCCTCTGTCTCCCCTCTGAGGCTATTAGCAGCTCTTTGAGGGCAAGAAGCTCTGTTTACTGCCGGGTGCCTGTGGGCGGTGGGGTAAGCTGAGCACAAAAAAAGAGAGACCCAGAGGGATCGGGTGGAGAGGGAGGTGGGAGGGGGGACCGGGATGGGGAATACATGTAAATCCATGGCTGATTCATTTCAATGTATGACAAAAACCACTGCAGTGATGTAAAGTAATTAGCCTCCAACTAATAAAAATAAATGAAAAAAAAAAAAAAGAGTGAACCAGTGGCTGAATGACTGAAGCAACCAGCAGGCAAAGAACATGGTGGTTAATTAATCTCACGGACTCTGGAGCCAGACAGGGCTTGTTCACATCTTGGCTCTATTGTGTCTCTGCCGTGTGTCCTTGTGTAAGTCACTTAACCACTCGGAGCCTCAGTTTCCTCGTCTCTTAATGTGGAAAATGAAAGAAACTCTCTCAGATGGGTGTGAAGAGTCACGGATAATTAAAGTGGTGCTGAGCACCTAGAAAACCCTTGGTGAGTGTTAGGCATTCCCTCCTTGAGGAGGGAAAGGGAGGGAAGGGCATGGGGTAGACTAATAAGAGTTTGGAAATCATGCACACCGCGTATGATTTAGAAGACAATTAGAAAAGGAGGGATTTGTGATTCTGATGGAAGTCATGGGCCACCAAGAGCTGAGCTAGAGAGGATGGAAAGGGTAGACCAGAAGTTTCTTCTAGACGGGGAGCCCAGTGTGACTTGGGGGTAGAGCAGGCTCCCCTTGGAGGCTCTGAGGGACCAAGGACTTGGCGAAACTCCTTAATCTCTGAGGAAACCCTCAGATTTTCACCCCCTCTCATACTATTCCTTTTTGAACCCATCAGTGTCCATGAGCACTTTCTAATCCCTCAGGTACAACAGGGCTATCGTCTGGGTGTTGGGGCTAGCAGCCAGGTGGGACCTCTGATGTCCTTCCCACGTGCAGAAGAAGGCAGGAGATGCTCAGGGTACATGTGAGGGCATGGAGAAAGGGGTTAGGATGGGTGCAGCGGTTAGGCTGTCTTTAGCAGGACAAAAAGACACGTAGACCTCCAGGACACAGGCTATCCTGTGAATGTATGCAAGATCGCCAAATGATCAAATCATGGAACTTCAGGGACCCAAGCTTTGGGCACAGTGAAATTTGGTGACGGTTGAAAGGAAGCTTTTCAGGAATCCTAGAGTAAGCAGATGGTGGGACCTGAACAGATGGAGCTGCCTTTTCCCTTGACTTTTAGGTTTCCTGGCATTCAGGGCCTGGGCAGACTCAGGGGTTGGAAGCAGGGAACAGCCACTGGGGTCGCTGGACCTTGAAAGGGGAGAGCTGGAGTGTGGTGTGGGCACGTGGGCAGGGAGGCCAGTCTGTTTTCTGGCTCCTGGTGGCACACCTGGGCCGTGCTCAGCCCCTCTGCCCATCTCAGACCTCAGAGAATTCAGGAAGCCTGGCCTTGCTCTGGCCCCATAAGGCCCGGAGTGGAGACTCAGAAAGAGTCCATCATGGCTTCGGACATGAGTGTGCAGTGACCCGGAGGCCTAGACTTCAGAAACCAAGGCAGTTCTTACTTAGATTCTGATATTTGCTGTCCCCTGCAGCTGAGTCTTCTCCAAGCATGGTCTGGGAGCGCCCGAAACCAGAAGTGCCCTTCCACTGTCGAGTCAGGACCCGAGAGCTGACCATCCGCAACGCAGCACCTTCAGGAGGACAAGGAGAAGGTGGTCAGGTGGGTACAACTGTGCTACGCTTTTGTCTTGTCCCCAGGGTTTCCCTGGTGGATCAGAAGGTAAAGAAACTGCCTGCAATGCAGGAGACCCGGGCTTGATCCCTGGGTTGGGAAGATCCCCTGGAGGAGGAAATGGCAACCCTTTCCAGTATTCTTGCCTGGAAAATCCCATGGACAGAGGAGCCTGGTGGGCTACAGTCCATGGGGGTCGCAAAAATTCAGACATGACTGAGCGACTGACATGTTCAAGGCTGGCAGGAATGGTTCTAGCTTCAGCCTGTCAATTATCTAAAAGGAGGAAGACACTGCAGAAGGCAAGACCATGAGCTTTGGAGTCAGAATGACCTGGGTTTGAACCCCAGCCCCATCTCTTACTAGCTGGAAGGAATGCTGACCACTCTGAGTCTCAATGTCTTTACCTGGAAAATGAGGATAATAATACTCACCTTGCCAGCTAAGTACTATTGCTGAGATAATGTTCAGAAAGCAGCAGTGTTGGTTAGAAAAGGTTGGTTTTCTCAGAAGCACCCCATTTCCCTTCCTCCCAGTCTGCCGTCTCAGAAACTGAGGTCCCAGTTCCCCCCTCCCCAGATCATCACCAGAACGTCCCAGAGCATCACCATCAGGGATGAAGCTACAACACCAAACAGGGTATTTTGGGGAACTCCATTCTTGGAGAACACGAATTTGTAAGTTGTTCCTAAAAATGAAGAGTTCTACTGAAGAATAAAATTTAAAGAAGTTTCATACTGTTGTTGCTCAGTTGTGTATTACTCTTTGCAACCCCATGGATTGGGGGCCACCATGCTCCTCTCTCCATGGGATTTTCCAGGCAAGAGTACCAGAGTGGGTTGCCATTCCCTTCTCCAGGGGATCTCCCCAACCCAGAGATCAAACTCGGGTCTCCCACATTGGAGGCAGACTCTTTACCATTGGAGCCACTAGGGTGGCTTTATTGACTATGTGGATCACAACAAACTGTGGATTTTTCTTAAAGAGATGGGAACACCAGACCGCCTTACCTGCCTCCTGAGAAATCTCTATGCAGGTCAGGAAGCAACAGTTAGTATTGGACATGGAACAATGGACTGGTTCCAAATTGGCAAAGGAGTGCAACAAGGCTGCATATTATCACCTTGCTTATGTAACTTCTATGCAGAGTACATCATGCAAAATACCAGGCTGGATAAAGCACAACTGGAATCAAGATTGAGGGGAGAAATATCAATAACCTCAGATATGCAGACGACACCAAACTTATGGCAGAAAGCGAAGAGGAACTAAAGAGCCTTTTGATGAAACTGAAAGAAGAGTGAAAAAGCTGGCTTAAAACTCAACATTCAGAAAACGAAGATAACAACATCCAGTCCCATCACTTCATGGCAAATAGAAGGGGAAACAATGGAAACAGTGAGAGACTTAATTTTCTTGGGCTCCAAAATCACTGCAGATGGGGACTGCAGCTGTGAATTTAAAGGACACTTGCTCCTTGGAAGAAAAGGCATGACCAACCTAGACAGCATATTAAAAAGCAGAGACATTATTTTGCCAACAAAGGTCCATCTAAGTCAAGGCTATGGTTTTACCAGTGGCCATGTATGGATGTGAGAGTTGGACTATAAAGAAAGCTGAGTGCCAAAGAACTGATGCTTTTGAAGTGTGGTGTTGGAGAAGGCTCTTGAGAGTTCCTTGGACTGCAAGGAGATCCAACCAGTCCATCCTAAAGGAAATCAGTCCTGAATATTCATTGGAAGGACTGATGCTGAAGCTGAAGCTCCAATACTTTGGCCACCTGATGTGAACAACTGATTCCTTAGAAAAGACCCTGACGCTGGGAAAGATTGAAGGCAGGAGGAGAAGGGGACATTAGAGGATGAGATGGTTGGGTGGCATCACCGACTCAACGGACATGAGTTTGAGCAAGCTCTGGAAGTTGGTGATGGACAGGGAGGCCTGGTGTGCTGCAGTCCGTGGGAAAGAGCTGGACATGGCTGAGGGACTGAGCGGAACTCACACTCACACCCACACTAGTCCATTCTCTGGGCCTCTTGATATATACTAGCACCCTAAAAGTTCTGAGAAGCCCTGCAGTAAAGAAAACTTTTGAGCTTTATTTAATCCTGTGGTTGGGAAATGTTTTCCCCCAGTCTGGTATTTCCTATTTTTTGTGCTGAATGGCCATTAACAGGACACAAAACTGGGGTTCCAGTTTCCTGGAACACACTTTGGGAAGTGATGATCCAGACCTCAGGGGGCTGTGAGACTTGGGTTAAGACACAGGCTTGGTCCCTAAAACTCCCAGGCTGTTTTTTTTTTAGCTATAGAGGCTAAAAATGGTCAGAGATGAGTGGGAGGGGATGAACATCATTCAGGGCAACAGTGCCCAGTGGGTGAGAAGGCCAGTGAGTGACAGCTTCGGTGGCTGGTCAGAGTCTGAAACCAGAGGGAGTGAGGCAGAGAGGGATGGAGTGAGGGAGGGAGGGAGTACTGAATATTTTGGTGCCATCGATTTTTAAAAAGCAGGGCAGAGGGGCAAGAGGAATGAGAAAAGGTGTATTTTATTTCCAAATACAATTCTGTCAAGAGGTCTGCTTTAAAAAGAAAAGGCTGCTGCAAAGGACAGGAAATGAGATTTAGGAAAGAAAAAGTACATAGAGTTTATAAACCTATGAAAAGTTTTCAACAAAGAAGCTAAAGAAATTCCCCAAAGATACTTTCTTCCCCTCTCAGATTGTAGGTTCAGAAAGATAAACAATTTTCAGTGTTGGTGAGAATGGATAACACAGGATAACCTCTGAAGGCAGGGCTAGTTTGATAGCTTACTTTACAATAATTTAAGATGGGTCAGGACTTCCCTGGTGGTTCAGTGGTTAAGAATTCATGCTTCCACTGCAGGGGACATGGGTTTGATCCCTGGTTGGGGAACTAAGATCCCACAGGCCCATGCAGAGCGGTCAAAAGATTTTTTTTTTTTTTAAAGGGCCTATCCTTTGATATGCAATCTTAGTTCTGAATGTCAATTAACCCTGAGGAGATAACCAGACCATGTACAAAGATGTCCTTGGCAGCATAATTTACAATACTCAAAAGGGGGAACAAACAGAAGGTTTAATAATAATAGCGTTAGTCGCTCTGCCCTGTCTGACTCTTTGTGACCCCATGGACTGTAGCCCACCAGGCTCCTCTGCCCACGGAATTCTCCAGGCAGGAATACTGGAGTGGGTTGCCAATGCCTTCTCCAGGGGATCTTCCCGACCCAGGGATCAAAGCTGGGGGCCGGTTAAATAGGTTGATTTAGACCTTAAGTGGCAGTGGAGAGGGCTAGCAGAGGGCACAGACTCTGAAACCGGGTCACTGGGGGTTAAAGCCTGACTCGCGCCTTCGTGCTGTGTGACTGTGGACAAGTGACTTACCCCCTTTGCCTTGCTTCCGCATCTGTAAAATGAGGGTAACAGTATCTTCTTTGCAGAGCTGTTCGAGGATTAAATGATTTAATATATATAAAGTGCTTTGGAACACTGTCTAATTGGCTGTTATGATTGTTCCCTGCCGTGTGCTTAGTCATGTCTGACTCTTTGTGACCCCATGGACTGTCGCCCACTAGGCTCCTCTGTCCATGGAATTTTCCAGGCAAGGATACTGGAGTCGGTTGCCATTTCCTACTCCAGGGGATCTTCCTGACCCAGGGATTGAACCCACGTCTCTTGCATCTCCTGCATTAGCCGACAGCTTCTTTACCACTGGAATTGTTACTATTAAAATGAAAAGTGGAAACATATTTCCCAAACCCGGAGTTTGTAAGATATAGCACATATGGGTATGATTCAATTCACGCAAAATGATCTATCTTTTGGTTTCTCTACATGTAGATACTCATAGAAGTCTGGAAGGATGATCACACCAAGGGGGTAATTAGTACTCATTTCGGGACGACACTCAGTTCCAGGCACTTTTATGTGTTTAATGTCTTTATATATTTTTATTTATTTTCCACTGAAGTGTAGTTGATTTATAATGTTGTCCTAGTTTCAGGTATACAGCCAAGTGATTCAGCTATACATATTATATCTATTGCATTTAGGTTATTATGAAATGTTGAGTATAGTTCCCTATGCTATACAGTAGGTCCTTACTGGTCACCTATTTTATATACAGTAATGTGTATCTGTTAATCCCCCACTTCCCGCTTTGATAATCGTTTGTTTTCTATGTCTGTGGGTCTGTTTCTGTCTTGAAAATAAGTTCATATGTGTCATTTTTCTGTGGATTCCACATATAAGTGATGGCACATGACAGCTGCCTTTCTCTGTCTGGCTTACTTCACTTCGTACCATCACCTCGACGTCCATCCACGTCTTTCTATATTAGCATTTTCTACAGTGACACATACCAAATGGAAAAAGGACGGTAAAATCAAATTCATTTAGTGGGAAAAAAGGGAGTGGGGTGGTTTTGCAGCCCTCTTCAGAGCAGTAGGCTGGGGGCTTGTGAGCCCCCCACCCCCTGGCGGTCAGACCCTCTCCCTGGGGCTTTTTCGCTTCGAGGCCTTTCCCTGCACCCCTTCCCACCGTCTAGGCTCCTCTGCACCCCAGCGCCCTCCTTCGGCCCACTGGGAGGACCCTGCCTCTGCCTTACCGGAGTTGGGGTACCCCACCACGGTGGGCAGGTAGCGGCTCTTGTTTATGTCCACGGGCACGAAGGCTGTGTACTTGCTGATGATGTTGCAGGCCTTGCTGGCGTGCACGGCATTCACCTGGTAGCGGCGGCTGGTCCCTGCAGGGGGAGAAGCCGAGGTCATTGTGCGCACTTGGAAAGGCCTCCCTCCACAGGGGGCTGAGAGGAGGGCTAGGTCGGTGGTCCCATATTCGGAATTCAATCAGGCCTTACAATTAAGGAACTACCAACTTGCCATTAAGCACATTAAAAAAATTAACAGAATTATTGAAACCTCCACCATCATTTCATAAAATAAGGCTATTTTAATGTAAAAGAGGTAAGATAGCTAATAAAATGACAGTTACTTTCCTTAAATAACTTTAGTGTTATTAAAAAAAACCCAAATCTCTGTGTTGGCAGTATTTTCTATTTTCATTTTGCAGCTGTGTGCTGAGAATCTTTCTGCAGGATTTCACAGGTCCCCTGGCTGCATGGGGACCATAGATCTGCCTCATAGAGACAAACCAGAAAGGGGGAGTGGGGTGCACAGGGTAACACAGCAAGTTAGGGATGGACCTGAGATCAGGACTCAGGATGGCCTGACCCCAAGGTTCAGACTCTTCCTACTGAGCAGGCGAGGAGTCTTCCTGGCATGAATGATGGACAAATGTCCTGTAAACTATAAGGAAAAGTGCTCATGGAAAAAAAAAATAACATATATGAAACTACAAATAATATAAAACAAAAACCATGTAGTAGTATTATATAAATAAGGCATATATTATAACAAATAATAGAAATATTCTCTATGTATATCTGTATCTGTTCTCCAAATGCACTTCATCAACAGCTCAGCAATCACTTTCTTGAAAGTTTGCCCCAGTTCCTGGAGTAAATGAGCCTCCCTATCATCCCTGTTATACAGTTGCTTGGATTCCTGTGTTTCTTCTTAATAGTATTAGGACAAATCAGTCCTGAATATTCATTGGAAGGACTGATGCTGAAGCTGAAGTTCCAATATTTTGGCCACCTGATGCAAAGAACTGACTCACCGGAAAAGACCCTGATGCTGGGAAAGATTGAAGGCGGGAGAAGGGGACGACAGAGGATGAGATGGATGAGATGTGCTCAATTAACGGTGTGTGTAATTATTTGATTCATGTTGGCCAGCCTCCAAGCTAGTCTGTGTCAAGCACTCAGAAGTCAGGATGGGGATGACAGTGGTCACTCTGCTGTTCAGCCTGACCCCCAGCTGATCCGCACTCAATAAATGGCCTTGAAGGGTGACTGCGCAGACCGATTAGGCCTAGAGGGTTCTGTGGGAGGAGAGGTGTGGTACCAGAGGAGCTAGGGAGGTGGAATAGGGCGGTCCTCATGGTAGTGTCTGCAGAGTCCTACAGTCCAGTCCAGTTCAGTTCAGTTGTTCAGTCGTGTCCAACTCTTTGCAACCCCATGGACTGCAGCATGCCAGGCCTCCCTGTCCATCACCAACTCCTGGAGCTTGCTCAAACTCATGTCCATTGAGTCGGTGATGCCATCCAACCATCTCATCCTCTGTCGTCCCCTTCTCCTCCTGCCTTCAATCTTTCCCAGCATCAGGGTCTTTTCTAATGAGTCAGTTCTTCACATCAGGTGGCCAGAGGATTGGAGTTTCAGCTTCAGCATCAGTCCTTACAACGAATATTCAGAACTGATTTCCTTTAGGATGGACTGGTTGGATCTCCTTGCAGTCCAAGGGACTCTCAAGAATCTTAATCCAACACCACAGTTCAAAAGCATCAATTCTTCAGTGCTCAGCTTTCTTTATGGTCCAAGTCTCACATCCATACATGAGTCCTGGAAAAACCACAGTTTTGACTGCTGCTGCTGCTGCTAAGTCCCTTCAGTCGTGTCCAACTCTGTGCGATCCCATAGACTGCAGCCCACCAGCTCCTCCGTCCCTGGGATTCTCCAGGCACGAATACTGGAGTGGGTTGCCGTTTCCTTCTCCATAGCTTTGACTAGATGGACCTTGGTTGGCAAAGTAATGTCTCTGTTTTTTAATATGCTGTCTAGGTTGGTTATAGCTCTTCTTCCAGGGAGCAAGAGTCTTTTTAATTTCATGGCTGCAGTCACCATCTGCAGTGATTTTGGAGCCCAAGAAAATAAAGTCTGCTACTGTTCCCACTGCTTCCCCATCTATTTGCCATGAAGTGATGGGACCGGAGGCCATGATCTTAGTTTTCTGAATGGTGAGTTTTAAGCCAACTTTTTCACTGTCCCCTTTCACTTTCATCAAGAGGTTCTTTAGTTCTTCTTTGCTTTCTGCCAGAAGGGTGGTGTCATCTGCATATATGAAGTTATTGAGGGACCCATAGCAGAGGGGAAGGAGGGAGGAGAGAACAGATCACGGGGCAGATCACGCAGGGGGTGGAGCCCTCGGCCGTGTGTGTGTGTGTGTGTGTGTGTGTGTGTGTGTGTGCGCGCGCACGCATCTGTGTGCGTGTGTGTCGGTGTGTGTGTGTTGGGAGGGGGACAGTGGGGGTCAAGGGAGGCACATGTAGGCAGCGATGGGGAGGGGAGGTGGAGCGCTGGGCGGTGGCAGGGCTGCGGAGAGAAATAAGGGTGGGGCCAGGAAAGAGGGCGGCCCCTGGGGGAGAGGCAAGGGGCGGGGCTTCTCGGACGGGCGGGGCGCTGTGAGGGGCGGGGCCGCGAGGATGGGCGGGGGAGAGACAAGGGGCGGGGCCGCTGTGAGGGCCAGGGCTATGACGAGGGGGCGGGGCCGCGCGGAGGGCCGCGCGGAGGACCGCGGTGCTCACCTTGCTCAATCTCACCCTCTCGCTCCGCCAGCTGCTCGAAATCCCGGATGATGGCGCGTGCTGCCAGGTGGTGGAAGGTCTCGCTCCACAGGTCGGGCTCTTGCGCGCCGCCCCTCTCCGGGCCGGGAGGCCCCAGCTCGAAGCTCACTTCCCACTGCACATGCTGGCTGTCTTGCAGGCCCTTGACCACGGCCTTGCCCAGCACGGGGCCTGGGGCGGCGGGCCTGCTGCGGCTGGCCCGCTCCTCGGACTCGGCCAGGGGCTCCCAGTCCGAGGACGTCTCCGTCGCGAAGGCAGAGGGGTGATGGGACGGCTCTGCGGGCGGAGGGACAAGCGCGCTGAGATCTGAGCTGCAGGACAGAGGGTCCACCCCCAGGGGACATCACACACTTCCCCGGGATACAGACACTAAGCAAGGACAGTGCCCCCTCGCTCCTCCGCCCCGGGGAACCCACCACTCTCCTTAGGAGAACAGGGGTAGCACGGGCTCGTCCCCAAGAGTAGGGCAGATCGCCCTCCCAGGAAGCCAGTACCTGAGGGGGCCAGGGAGAGTGGGGAGCACTCTGCAGGGAGGACGTCTCGGAGCCTCGCAGGTAGCCCAAAGACCAGGTGGATTGGGAAGGTGGGGTTGGTGAGGTCCCTGGCAGGGATGGGCCACAGCAGACACCGCTCCACCTCCCCCAGGATGGGCTCCAGCCTACGATTCCTCCCTGTCTCCAATCAGGTCTTGGACATTGTGGACACTTACCCAGGTCCCCAGGGCTGCGGCTGTCTGAGGCAGGCTTCAAGTTGGACCCAAGATCCAACTCTTTCATGGGGCTCCAGGCCTGGGTCTCCTGGTTGGAGGGTAGGAAGGGCTGGCAGCCTTGGGGCAGCAGAGAGGGCCTGCGGGCCCCTGGACCCCGGAGTTTGGGACCCTGGCTCAGGTCCGGGCCACCGTTCAGCAAGGGCTAAGAATGCAAGAGGAAGAGGAGAAGGCTGAGCTCCTGGCGGTGGGCCCCCTCCCGTCTGCCCCAAGCCACAGCTCTTCTTGGCACGTCACAGCTCCTCCCTGGGGACTGCCCCCATAGCGCCCAAGGACCTGACCTGCTCTCCACTACCCATGAGAAACATCGGCACAAGTAATCCCAAATCGTGGATAAAGTCCAAACCACAGAAAACCATGGGAAAATCATGTACCATGGATAATATTCTAAACCCACTTTTTTTTTTTGGTTTTGTTTTTGGCCATAAAGTTTAAAACTGTGTGTGTGGTTATAATTATCAACCTTTCCCCTTATGTCTTCCCATTTGTCATGCTAAAAAGTCTTTCCTAATAGAAAAAAATTCTAGAATTTTTGTGATTCTGTTTTTGTTTAAATCTTTAATTCATACAAAAATTATTTTGGTGTAAGGAAATAGAAAACGGCCTTTTCTTTGATTTTCTGAATAGTACAAATGTCATCACCATTTACTGACGACAGTTCATTCATTGAGTCCCTGCAGTTTATCAATTCTCCGCCTCTATCCTGACAAAGCTGTCATGAGCATTTGGGTTTTTTTCTGGACTTTTGTTTTGTGGATTTAATCTGTCCAACGCTAGTACAAAACACTTCAAAAGGCAAGAAGTCAACTGGGAAATATATTTGCAGCATGCATGACAAAGATCATTTTCAACAAAATGCTTTTATGAGAAAAGTATTATATAAGCCTGTGAAAAAATGCTCAGTCTCAGGAGCATTGCTCTAAATTGAAATAAGTTATGAGTGTTCCATCTATGGATTAGCAAATATTTAAATGTTTGATGACACCCTTGTTGCCAAGGAGGAGGCAGGAGTTTCTCATGGACTGTTGATGGGACACTGTGCTGAAGCACTCCTGTGGGAGAACGATTTAGCAATGTGCCATCTGTCAACATTGAAAATGCACAAGCTCCTTTGACCCAGCGATTCCACTTTTAGGAATTTAATTCTGTGGCAACACACAAGGATGAAAATATCCATGTGCATGTACTGTATATATATTGTGGGACTTTGAGAAAGTAAAAATCTGGAAACTTTCTAAAAGGCCATTTATAGGGGATGGTGTATGCATCATGGTTGTTGTGGTTTAGTTGCTAAGTTACGTTCGACTCTTTTGCGACCCCGTGGACTGTAGCCCACCAGGCTCCTCTGTCCATGAGATTTCCCAGGCAAGAATATTTGAGTGGGTTGCCATTTCCTCCTCCAGGAAATCTGTCTGACACAGGGATTGAACCCGAGCCTCCTGCATTGCAGGCAGATTCTTTACCGCTGAGTCACCTAGGAAGCCAAAATACGTTATGGTACATCTGTGCAGTGGAACATCATACAACACTGAAATAAAAGTGGTGTGGATTTTTTCCATACCAATACAGGAAGATGTCCAAAATAAAATTTATTTTAAAAAATTTCAACTGTTTCATATTTTGATTGTGGAGAGAGTTACATTACTACATGTATTTATCAAAACTCATAGAGATGTTCACCAAAAAGAGTAATTTTTACTGCATATAAAAAGTTAGTTAAAAAGACATTTAAAAAGTAAACTGGAGAGCAGTTTGTATATGTGATTATTCAAAGCATATACGTGTGTTGCAATGTGTGTTTTTGAGTGTGTGTAGTATTTCTGGAAGGAAACGCCCCAAACCAAGTGGACACAAGGCAGAAGAGAGGGGTACTTTTACTTTATATTCAACCAAACTGAGGGTTTTTTTAAATTGAGAACCCTAAGTATGTATTACTTTTGTAATTAAAGAATATTAAATTAGTTAAAAATAAAATTTGTACCTCTGGGAACATGTACTCCTGCCTGGAAGGAGGAGGGTGGGGGGGAACAAAGACACTTATACGTAACAGAGAGAAAAACTGCCCCTTAGTTTTTAGACTAATGGTTAACTACAGAGTCTTTCTCATCTCCATCAAATATTTACTGGAAAGAGGACTGTGCCTCCCCAGTAGAGGGGGCTTCTTGGGGGCAGGGGTTAAAGATGTCCTTCCTGTTTCCTCTGGGCCTGAGGTCCTGGGGGTGATACAAGGGTGTGGGAGACGGAAGAGACTGGTCCCTCTTAGGAAGGCCTCAGTGGGAACGGGTACCCAGACAAGGCTGCTGAGTCCCAGGACGTCCTTAACCCCTTTATCCCCATCAGAAACTGGGATTTCCCCTCACTCCAGGGTTACCACCACACTGAAAAACAGACTGCTGCAGTTTCCATAGCAACAAATTAGTCTAAGATTCAGTCCCCTTCACCCATCCGTAGGCTGCAGGGAGTGTGTACATGTGTGTGTGTGCATATATGTGCATTCACATAAGTATACTGGGGATTATCACATTGTGAAAGAAATCAAGAAGGGGATAGGGAGCAAAGATGGGCCAGAAGTGAGCAAGAGAGAAGCCAAGCTGTCCAGAGCTCTCAGCAAGCAGAACTGTGTTTAAAGGATGCCATTTCACACAACAATCCCACTACTGGGTTATATACCCTGAGAAAACCATAACTTAAAAAGCCACATGTACCTAAACCTTCACTGCAACACTATTTACACTAGCTAGGACATGGAAGCAACCTAGATGTCCGTCAACAGATGAATGGATAAAGAACTGTGTTGCATATACACAATGGAGTATTACTCAGCCGTAAAAAGGAATACATTTGAGTCAGTTCTAATGAGGTGGATGAACCTAGAGCCTATTATACACAGTGAAGTAAGTCAGGAAGAGAAAAACAAATGTTACACATTAACATGTACATATATGGAATCTAGAAAGATGGTACTGATGAACTTATTTGCAGGGCAGCAATGGAAACGCAGACACAGAGAACAGACTTGTTGACACAGGCAGGGAAGGAGAGGGAGGGACGAATGGAGAGAGTAGCCTGGAAACGTACTCACTGCGCGCGTAAAACAGACGGCCAGTGGGAACTTGCCGTGTGACTCAGGGAGCTCAAACGAGTGCTCTGTGACCACCTAGAGGGGTGGGCTGGGCTGAGAAGTGGGTGAGGTTCACGAGGGAGGGGGCATAGATTTACCGATGCCTGATTCATGCTGATGCGTGGGAGAAACAGACACAATATTGTAAAGCAATTACCCTTTAATGAAAAATTAATGCATTAAAAAAAAGAAACTAAAAAAAAAATAAAATAAAGGACACCTACTCTGTGCCAGGCGCTGCACTAGCTACTTTATCTCTTATCAGCAGATGCTGCAGGAGTCTTCCACCTACGGTTGGCTCCCAATAAACATCTGTTGCTGACTCTCAGTCCAATTGTCTGACAAGCTAGTCTCTCCTTTGCAGAGATGAAAAGTTGGGGCTCAGAGAGGTTAAGCAACATGCTTAAGGAGCAGAGTCTGTCTGACTCCAAAGCCAGTGTCTTCTAGCCGCATGGAATGGCTCCTGGCTAAGCACTGCGAAGCACCTTCTGGGGCAAGGTGGCAGTGTTTCTGTCGCTGGGGAGCGCAGAGGGCTTTAGGTATATGTGGAGATGGGAGGGATAGGGTTACTGGGGGGAATGGGAGGATGAAAGGCTACTTTTATGGAACCAGAGACTCACAACGACAATGCTACGCAAAGCCCATTTTTAAGAAAATGGGCTAAGGCATATAGATCATAGCAAACATCCATTCGGGTTACCATGGTGTTTCTCAGACCTGGTGATTTTGCTGCCCTGCCCTGGGGACCTTTGGCAGTGTCTGCAGACATGTTTGGTTGCCCCGACTGGGGATGGTAGTGTTACTGACAACCAGTGGATAGAAGCCGGGGAAGCTGCTCGACATTCTACAATACATAGGACAGCCCCACAACAGAGTTACCACTTCAATAGTGTGGGGCTGAGAAACCCTAGTCTAGCTGGACGCTGGATAACTGGTCCTCCTGTGCCTCTGTCTCTGAGATGATCTCTGCCGTGGATGAATGTACAACCCTTGAGGTTTGCAGAGGGTGCAGAAAGGGAAGAAGAAGGGAAAGCAAGGGCTTTGCAGACAAAAGGTCCTGGGTTGCAACCCCCTGACTGACTGAGTGACCCTAGGTAAATCACTTTACCTCTGTGACCCTCACTATCCACATCTGTACAGAGTGGGGGTGGCTAGCTCCTACATTGCCTCCTTTCTAAGGGGTACTATAAAATCAAACTTGAGTGCAAATGGGGTGCTGTTTGACAACTGGGAAGTTCTATGAGAAGAGAATACGTGATGTTATTGACTAGTGGGTATCATTATTAGAAAGGTGTCAATTGTTTTTTTTTTCCAGTTTTTTAAATTTATTTTTATTAGTTGGAGGCTAATTACTTTATAATATTGTAGTGGTTTTTGCCATACATTGACATGAATCAGCCATGGATTTACATGTGTTCCCCATCCTGATCCCCACTCCCACCTCCCTCTGGAAGGTGTCAATTGGAGGTCAGGTAGGCAAAGATTTGGAAACAGGGGGAAGTGACTTATGTCAGTGTAAATTGCAGTCAAGCTCCATCCTTCTGTCTGAGGCAGGAGACACGGCTCCTCCCATCTACGGCAATCCCTAACTCCAAAATTCCCCGCTAGGGTACCTGCAAATCAATCTGCCACCACGGAGCATCCAGGCTGGTCTGGTTGGTGAGGTCCTGCAGCTTGGTTTTCCGCAGTGGGTATCTCCTGGTAGCCGTTGTGGGGTCACTGGCTGTGAGGGTCCTTGGGGTGGGCTTATGGTTGGTGATCTGGTTGGTGCTATATGCCCGCCGTCGCTGGGAGAGGCCTAGACCTGGGCAGGAGTGATGACGGAGAAGCAAGTAATCAGGGCAGAGAAAGAGAGGGGCTAACAGACTCCTTGCCTGCTTGGATACTTCTTGAGTTTTCCGCTGCTTACCCGTCGGGTTGGGAAGATCCCCTGGAGAAGGGAAAGGCTACCTACTCCAGTATTCTGGCCTGGAGAATTCCATGGACTGTATAGTCAATGGGGTCACAGAGAGTCGGACACGACTGAGCGACTTTCACGTTCACTTACCTGTTGAAATGTGTGCAGGTGTCTCACCTCACCTGGCATCCAAAGCCTTGCCTCACCCAGTGCTAATCCCTGCTCAGCTACTCTTTCTCCGCCTTTTTCAGGAGGAAAAGCATATTTGTGCTCCAAATATACCAGCTGTGTGTGTGTTCTCTAGGCACGACACCTCGACGTCTTAGCTCAGGCAGTTCCTGCTGCCTGGATCTCCTCGCCCCACTCCTAAGCACTGGTGCCCTTGTTACGTCTTTGCTAATAGCCTCTACCAGATGTTCCTTTCCCTGGGATTCCTACAGTTTGTTGAAATTCCCTATGGTCCTTGTCACCCTGCTTTCTAACAGAATTAAGGACAATTGTGTCTCGAAGTCGGAGGGCTTCTGAGGGGCAGGTACTGCGTTTGAGCCACCTCTGCTTCCCATTCTGTGCTCAGGACCAGCCTTAGTAGGTGATCAGTAAATACCCTGCGAATGGCAACTAATGCCATGAAGAAGTTTGGGAGGAAGACGGATATAGACTCTTTATATGTATCTTTCAAGTTCCATGAGGTTAGCTGAGTTGCTAAAATTCTCCAAGTCTCAGTTTCCTCGTCCGTAGAGTTGATGTTATAGTACCCACCTCCACAGCTGCCAACCATTAGCACATAGTAGGTACGCAGTAAAAACGTGGCAGTCATGGCTTCCCTGGAGCAGGGCGTGAAGCACAAACCGCAGCCAACTAACCAGGGTTGGGGGCAGAGTCTCCGCTGGACGGCTGGGCGTCTTTGGCCTGTCTCGGGTTGAGCGGTGCCCCGACGCTCCTGACACAGTCCCCGCTGTCTGGGTTGGGCTCCTCATCCTGTGATTGGGAGAAGACAGAGCCGCGGGACTCCTGAGAGGGCAGCATGCTGTATCGTCTTCTCTTGTCCTGGAGGGAGGGAGAGGAAGGAGGACTTAGAGAGAGGCTAGGCGTCAAGAAGGACATCCGAAGGGCAGCAAGGGGTGTGAGAGGAGACGGTGGAGGCTCCGCCTTTGAAGAACCAGAATAATAAGCAATGGTTTTCCTTGCTTGGGGAATTTAGGCAGACTGCTGTTTAAGGGATGATGAATGGAAATGGTTTTTCATATCACTTATTCTGTTAATATTTATAATTGTATTCTTTGTTAGATTAAAAATGTAATTCTAAATGCTATTGCTGTCTCCAAATAGATAAACAAAAACAACAGCATGAACCATCTGTTGCTCTCATCCCATTCCCCATGATATAAACATATAAAAAATATAAAGGTTTTGGTGCTCATCTTGTATTACAAAATCTGGACCATATTACTTACATTTTGTCCATAGCTTGAATTTCACACTTAAAACATTTTGGAAATCTTTCACATCAACTACTCGTTTAAACATTTGACTGTACGATATTGTACCACCCCTTATTATGAAGCATTTGTTTTGTGGCCATTTATTTTTTTGCCACCATAAAAAATACTACAATAAATTCTTGACCATAAATCTATTACATCACTTTTGTTTCTATGTATTTGACTCTTAGGAGGTTTTGCTGGATTGAATAGTTATCTATGTCCAATTTTATTAGTTATTTCCAGATTGCCTTTCAGGAGGGTGAGTCGTGATCACACTCTTTACCCAACAACTCTTCTAGTAGGAGGAGAAAGCATTGCTAGTCTCATGCGTAAGGACAAGAGAATGGATTTGATAACCCCTGCTGGTAGTAGAGTCTGTGGATGACCCACTATCTCCCAGACCTCCACGCAGGGCCCAGTCTGTGCAAAGTCTCGATCAGCATTAGGTTTAGCGTGTTTTCTCTGCAGTTGAGCACCCCACTCTCCAGAATACATTACCATTACTGACCATGGTTCTTAAGAGATTCCATATCTTTATAAAATCTGAAAATTTCAAATAAAATCCTAACTTTTCTTGAAAGATTAGAAACATGTTTAACACAAGGTCTACATTCTTCCATGGCAACCCTTGTTAGACCTGAGTAGGGGCTGACAGTTTAGACAGGGTGTGTGTGATCCAGTTTGCTATCTTCTTCACCACCACTCATTTCCTCTCTGTCAGGAATGTCTACTATCCTTCATGATATTTTCCCCTTCAATTTTTATATCAAGTTCATTTCATTCATTTTATACCTGCCCAGTCCCTCTGGGCATTGCGTTCATGACTCTGGTTTAAAAACAAAGTAAGATGACAAATCCTTTAAAGGGGAGATGAGAGACTTACAAAAGAGTAAAGAGGGAAGCTAAGAGAAAATATCTGAGAAAATAGCTTCTCGGGCAATCTGATACATTTTAGCATTTAGGATTTCACCTCCCTTTGAGAAGTTCCTTACTTTTATCCCACTTCTGCTACCACATACCACAGAATTATCCATGTTAAGAAATAAAACACAAATTCTTCTAAGGACATATGGCTGGATTAGAGTGTTTGGGGGAAGGAAACCTGAGTGCTGTTCTGAACTGAGTTGTTCATCAAATATACCCATAACCTACTTTGGGTCAATTATGTAAAATGCATATTCTTGGGCCTTATCTGCTAAGTTTTATTCAGTAGACCTGGGTTGGAGCAAGGGCTCTACCTTTTAAACATGTTCCCCAAGTTCTTCAGCTGCAGGGGACCTAGAGAACCACAGACTGAGATAGTAGCATTTATCCAAGCAGTGTCACCATTGACTGAATGCCTATGACCTAACAACTATACCCCACAGCAGTAAACCCAAATCCAATTGGCTCCTGGCTGCCACAAATAAACAGTCTTTCCAGCCAAGGATGGCTTTGTAGGCAGGGTTCTGGACCCCCACCGCCTCCTGGAATTTCTAAAATACTTACAGTTCTAGGATTGGAGATGTATAAAGAGGCATCACATACAATGCCATATCCCACCAGCCGTTCTCCGGGAAAGAGGGAGCTGGTGCTGACAGGTGAGATCAGGACCTCGGTGGTCTCGGGGAAGACCCATTCCACAGTCACATCACTCAGGACCGGGGCCATAGCCTTCTTCAGGGATTTGACCATCTGTTGGGCAAGGTGAGAACACAGGTTTGGGGGATGTGTAAGTGGGGATATGCACACGTGAGGAGCAGGAAGACCATGTGAGTGTGAGCATGAGGAGAATATCAGAGAGGAAGTGACTAGAGACTGTGGGGTGGCCTGTTCTGCAGTGAACATGCGTCTGTGCTTCTTAGACTCCTAGAATGTCAGAGCTGGAGCAGATCTTTGCTGTCACCTCTAAGCTTAGCATTTTATAGATTAAAAAAACCCCATGACTCAAAGTAGAATTATGATGAGCCAGGGGCATACAGAAAGTTGTGTGAAAACATGGGCTGAATAGTGATTTTGAGCAAGTCAATTTGCCTTCCTGGGCCATAGACCTTCCTGGGTCCCTTTCTGTTAAAGGGAGTCGGTAATTCTCTACTCTTGGTAGAGCTGAGAGGACGACCTGGATACTGCATTTCAAGTATCTGCAACAAGACAGGTGCTCAACAAATGACAGCTAGTTTAGCACTTAGCGGCTTAGCATCCCCTAGAGTGATTTCCTCAAATGTACTGCAAAGGTGGAGAAAAAATGATCTGGGGAGTATGGCAGCCACAGAGATGCACTTTCAATTTTCCCTTTGAGACAGACTGTGCTCTTTTGCTGCAAGGAATGCAGTTAGGCGGCAGTCTCCATGTGCAATGCCTCAGCGTTCAAACCAAGACCACACCCTCTCCCTGGAAGCCCCCAGGCAACAAATGAGCAGTGCCTGGCCTTTCCACCCAACACAGATGACCTAATGGGCAACTCTTGCTCCAGAGATCCCTGGTGGGTTGCTTAAGAGCTTGCCAGACCTGCACTGACGTCCGAGGCTCTCCCTGCTCAATTCTGTTTCCCTCCTTCCCTTTCACAAGTGCTGCATCTGCACGCAGACTAAAGAGTTTTCCTCCCTGTTTCCTCTTCCCTTCCACAGATTTTAATCCTTCAAGAAACCTCTTGCTCTTCAGCTTTGTTGTTTCTTGTCCCTGGAGGATATGGACCAACAGAGACTATCTAAGGACTGGATTACTTGTGCCAGTTATGCAGGAGATGGAGAGGAGACTAATTGCCTTGATTTCTTCTGGGCCCTTTAGATTCTCCTGAGCCATCATTTATCATCTTCAGGAACATGTCCAGAAAGGACCCCAGACACAACTCACATCCAAGAGACAGTAATTCCTTTGGCAGCCCCAATCCTACCCACCCAGGATGGATGGAACATATGACCCTGGGGATGGAGACAAGGGTGATCTAGTGTCTTGTACTAACTCCAGAAATTGCCCACTCTGTGCTTCCACCTGTGATTCTCCGTGGGGTGCAATGTGGCCTAGTGGAGAGCTCAGATTTGGGGTGAAACCCCAGTTCTACCCCTGAGTTACTGTGTGGCCAGTCTGAGCTTCTGAGTTTCAAGCACCAGAAGAGACTGAGGTCCTTCTGCCTACCTTGGGTTGCAGCCGCTCCCCTTCCTCCAGGAACTCAGCACTGCCGTTGGACACAGTTGCCAACCCATTCACCAGTCTGCGGCAGACGTTGGGTCCAATTCCAAAGCTATAGCACCTGGGAGAGGGGGACAAAGAGACTGGGACTTCCCACCCTCTCTGCCATTTTGTCCCCTGATAGGAAAGGGACAGATCATGAGCTATCTCAGAGCTGGCCCTGTTCTTTAGGCAGAGGGTGAGGGAGAAGGAAGAGGGGCATCCATGGACACTCATTCACATATGGACAACTCATCACCTCCCACCCCAGTGGAGAGCCAAAGCAGGAAGGGCTTCCTCTGCTGAGGCTGCTCTTTGGGACCTGGATGCAAGGTCGTGAGCATCTTATCCTTCCTGAACTGTTGTGGGGAAAAGGCAAACTTTGAAGTCAGCCACACCACCAATGAAGGTCTGTCTAGTCCACACTATGGTTTTTCCAGTGGTCATGTATGGATGTGAGAGTTGGTCTATAAAGAAAGCTGAGCACTGAAGAGTTGATGCTTTTGAACTGTGGTGTTGGAGAAGACTCTTGAGAGTCCCTTGGACTGCAAGGAGATCCAACTAGTCCATCATAAAAGAAATCAGTCCTGAATATTCATTGGAAGGACTGATGTTGAAGCTGAAACTCCAGTTCTTTGGTCACCTGATGCAAAGAACTGACTCTTTAGAAAAGACCTTGATGCTAGGAAAGATTGAAGGTGGGAGGAGAAGGGGATGACAGAGGATGAGATGGTTGGATGGCATCACTGACTCAATGGACATAGTTTGAATAAACTCCGGGAGTTGGTGATGGACAGGGAGGCCTGGTGTGCTGCAGTCCATGGGGTCACAAAGAGTCAGACACGACTGAGCGACTGAACTGAACTGAACTGGACACCACCCTGGAAGCAAAGCTCTGGAGGAGTTGTGGGTCCTCGCTTTTCCTTCTGGCATTTTCCACGTTACCCCAGGCCTGGCATCCTCAGTCCAGGGCAGCCCAGGAAAACCGAGCCCTAGGCCTTCAGCCTGTGCCCACCTGGTGGAGAAGGCATGATTTCGCACCAGCTCCAGCACCTTCCCGGTGTTGTTGACGGCACCATCCGTGATCAGGAAGAGAAGCCTCGGGTAGCCTCGGAGCGCTGGCTGCCGGATGACCCACTTGAGCGGGGAGAGGATGTTGGTGCCACCCATGTCAGCTCGCATTTTCTGGATGTTATCACAGGCCATGGCCAAGTTCTCCTACAGAGAAAGGTCAAGGGCAGGGAGGTCGTCCCCAGGTTGTCATATGGCATGGAGATGCCCAGCACCAGGAGGATGAGTCCTTTGTTTCCCTGAATTTTAGTTCAGCCTCACTGGAGTTGATTCCTCTTCCCGGTTCCATCTCTGCCCCATGTGCAGGAAGAATAGGTGGTTGTTTTCTGGTGTGAGCTCCCTAATAACACCATCTACCAATGTCGCAGATGCTACCACTCATGATGTATTAACTCGCTGTTGCCCTTTCTTTGTTCCTCTTTAAAAATATAAACATCCCTGGAAAAGATAGCACGTCAGATCCTGATTGCTCAGCACAGAGGAGGTTTCCTTGTCTGATGAGTGAGGCAGGAGGTGTGGTGAAAAGACCACTAGTCTAGAAATCTTAAGACCTGAGTCCTGGCTCGACTGTGGCACTAAATGCCTAGGATACTTTGAGGAAACCATTTCCCTCATCTGGGCTTCAGATTTCTGCCCTTGTGGACCAGTACTGTGAGACCCAGTTGGGCAAGGGTTCCTGGCATTGGATGGATGTCACTGAGCAAGGACAGATTCCTGCTGGATGTCACGTGCCCTCCTGATCCTGACTCAGGAAGAAGCTCTTCCAACATGCACACTTGGAATGATGGAATATATCAAAAGTCCTCAAATGTATATGTAACCTTTGAACCAGCAAGACTAGAAATTTATCCCAAGGGAATCATTAAGGATGGATGCAAAGCCTTTGCTGCAAAGATAACTAAATAGAAAAAAAAATGGGAACAACTTAAATGCTCAACTGTAGGGGTTTAGTTAAATAAGTCACAGTCTATCTGTGTAGTGGGATGCTAGGCAACTATTGAAATTATGTTGCAGATTAATACTTACTGGCATGGACATATGCTCAGGATATGCTGTTTTGTTAGAAAAATAGGTTACACAGACAGTAAGGGAGGTTTAATCCTATCTTATTGAAAATTTGTGCAAGTGCTTAGAACAAGAAGGGATTTATACTAAGCTCTTAATAGTGGTTTTTTTTCTCTTTTTTCTGACTAATGATGGGAGATTTTCAAATTTTTCTTTTCGACTATCTAGATTTAAAAATCATGGGACAATCAATATATATTATTTCTGTACTGAAGAAACCCATAAAGAAGTTATTTTTAGTTGAAAAGGAGTTCCTATGTCCCTCTTTTCTCCTTTCCTACACCTTCTCCCCCTCTCTTTCCCTCCCTCCCTTCATTTCTTCCCTCCTTTCCCCTTCTTTCATCCATCTCTCCATCTTTCTGTTCCTTCTTCCCAGGGATGGGGCCTGGGCCACAGCACTGAAAATGCAGAATCTAACCACCAGGCCAGGAGGGAATCCCCTAGGATGCTCCCGTTCTGAACATCCTACTGGGGCCGAGGTCTTCTTGTTCCAAACTGTACCTTGTGGTTTGGAAAGACTTCTAGACTAGTGGTCTTTCCACCACACCTCCTGCCTCACTCATCAGAAAAGGAAACCTCCTCTGTGCTGAGCAATCAGGATCTGATGTGCTAACTTTTCCAGGGATGTTTATATGTTTAAAGAGGAACAAAGAAAGGGCAGTGGTAAGTTAACACATCGTGAGAGCTGGCTGTGTGGAGCTGTGTGGAGCGCCATTCCCAGCCCCCTCGCCCACCTATTCTCTCCTCTGCCCCTTGCTCTTCACACCTTCCCTCAACCTTGCCCGAGTCCATCATTCTGACGAGAGGGAGGCTTCAGTGGGTGGGAGGCCTAAGGTGCCCGCTCCCTCCGTCTTCCCTCTGCTCCCTCCCTGAGCACACCCATCCTTCACCCCACGTGTTCCTTATCTTGGGGAGGGGGGAGGTCAGCAGATGGCCTGCAAGGGGAGAGCCTCCCCTGCGGTTCTCTGCTCCTGGCATCGCCAGCTAGGCTCTACATGGGGTCAGGGTTAGGGTCCTGTGAGGCAGGCCTCGAGGTCGCCTCCTCTCTCCTCTCCCTCCCTTGCCTCTGCTCCTCACCACCCAACCCCTCTTGGTTCCAACCACGCCCCCTCCTTACCTCACTGTAGGTCTGACTGGAAGGGAAGAGGGTTTTAAACGTGGATCCAAACCCAATGACGTTGAAGAGGCAGGTTGGCATGAGGCTCTTAAGAGCCACCAGCATGGCGTCCTAATAGGGAAGGAAGGAACTTTTAGGATTCCAGAAGGCATTCTTCCCTTGGTCATCACAGCACAGAGGCAGCCTCCAAGGGAACCTTTCGCCCTCTGCCTGCACCCGGCATCGCGTCCTCCCCCAGAGCAAGAAATTCACTGATGCTGACCAGAGGCTGGGGCAAAGCCATCATCATAAAACTCCTCATCCGTGTAGCAAGTCTGATTTCTCAAAGTCATTCTATTAGAGTTTGCCAGTTCCGTTTCACCTCCTACTGACCCTGAGCGGTAAGGAGAGCCGGAAGTATGCATTCCCTTCTGCCAAAAGAAAATTGACATCTAAGGGAGACACATGGCCTGGTCTCGCTGGCGATGGAGCAGGCCTCTGTGTGGCTCTCATCCAGGGCCTTTTGTATCAGAAACCCCCCCACTATCATGAACTAGGGTACATTTCTTAGAAAGAGTCTCTTTAGCTCATATCTGTTCAATGCCCAGAATGTACTTTACATGCATTATCTCACATAATCTTCACACTAACTCTTTGAGGCAGGCACAATATTATTCTCATTTTATTTAAGAGAAAACTGAGGCACAGAGAGGTGGAGTGACTTGTTTGTGAGCATCCAGATTGTAAATTAGTGGAGCCAGGACTCAAATGTGTCACTCTGACTCCAAGCCTGTGAACATTAAAGGGTCTGAACCGATCTGACTAGGCAACACCAGGAGACCTTCATCGAGGTATTTTCTAAAAAAAATAATGACGCAGAGAGAAGGTGGAGATGACAAGTGGGAAAACGATGGCGTTGATGCTGATGACACAATGCAATGATCAATGTCATGCAGTCACTATGTGCTAAGCGCTTTATCTCTTTTCGTCTCTACAATATACATTATAGCAGGGTGGTTAAGAAGATACACTTTGAAGTTAAACATATCTGGGTTTCAATCTCACTTTTAGTAACTTGACCTTGGGTTAGCTATGTCATTTTTCTGAACTTCAGCAAGGCACACAGTAAAACATTCAGTAAATGGTTATTATTACCTACCGTATGAAATACATATTAATAAAAACACCTCTATTTTACAGATAAGAAAACTGAGGAATTGCACTGGATCATAAAACCTAAGAACAGGGCTGAGGCTCTCAAAGCCTAGCGCCGAGATCTTTAGTCACGTTGGCTCTGCCTTGGCACAGAACTCAGGAATGAGGGGCTTTCCCCCACCCTCATAGGGTTTATTGATGGCATCCCAGGGATCTCGGCAAAGCTTCACAGAAACAAACTGTTATACTCCAAAATCTAGAAGGAAACAGTTGCAAGTAGATCCTGGCAACTTTCACGCCATATGGTCTTTCAGGCTCCACAACCCTGCAGCACCTCGCCCACCCCGCTTTGTAAATATTAACATCAATGTTCTGTCCATCTCCTTTTATTACTTGTGTCAATACATTTTGTTTTCCTGCAAAAGAAGTCAATCTCTGTTTATTTTTTCATTAGCTGCTAATGTGTGTTGCTGCTAGCAGGAGGCTCTGCCGATCCATACAGATGGTCTCTGCTCACACCTATCACGATTTTTAAAGCCCCGTTTTTGGCAGCAATTGGTAGCTGAAGAAGGAGACCAGCTGCAGGAAATTAAATTGGCTGAACCTTGCCCTTTGGCGGGACTGTTTAGATTTCTATTCTCTCTTATATCCTGAAGCCTAGCTTTCCCTAAAACTTCAACCTAATGGGCCACCTAATGACTTAAGCAACCCCTCAAAGGCCTCATTGTCAATGGGGAAAGGGACCTGTGGCTTGAGTAATTTCTGTGACTTTTTCTAAAAGGGGCACATTTAGCAGAATGGGTTGTGCCAACACAAAACCATTTGTGAAAGGATGACCTTGAGCTCCCTGAGCTGAACTGGAAAAGAAAGCATGAGCGACTCCAAGGGGAAAGGGACTGAGACACGAATCAGAGCTAGAGAAAGCTATTGTCAGGGAATTCTGAAAATAGGTCTTTAATTCAGGAACTGGATTTCCACTCATCAACAAACTCCATTGAACTGGTAGTAACTGCCTGGGACACCAAGCTGAGAAGGATATATAGATTGAGACCAGGCTCAGCATTGAAAAAAATGTCATGGTCAATTATATTTTTATTTTGAAATGAAACAGAGATGAATATTTTTTAATGACAAAAGGTACAATTCACAAAGAAGATGGACATCATAAACCATTAGACATAATGGTCAGTTATTGATGTCTGTCTGGGCTTGGGAGAGGGGAATGGAATGATGTGTGACATATGCTTGCCCTCCCTGAATGAGTCCTCCCTTCTCATCTTACAGAAAGAATAAATGACGCCCAGAGTTGAGAATCAACTTGTCCAAAGTAACACAGTAAGTCTGTGGCAGAACTGACCCTGCAACCCAGGCATTGCTTTTCCCATAGAGCTATGCAGCAAGAATAACAATCAGAGAAGAGAGCATTTCTTAGTGGAAGAGTCTGTATAATTCCCTGCCAGCAATGTAAGGAAAATGAGCACTGAATCAAGATACAGAAAGCTCAGGTTCAAGCACCAGCTCTGTGATGTTGGGAAGAACACTTAGCTTTCTGTGACCTCAGTTTCTTTACTTGGAAAATGGTGGGGAAAGGGGATTAAATGCTCTCTAAGAGATGTTTTAGGTATATGATCCCATGATACTCTAGAGTAACTGAAGAGATGTCTTACAAATTGGTACAGTTGTGGAATGGAATACTTATGGCCACACAGGCCTGCAGCGTGCTTCAGCACTCTAGCCCTGTGGACAGCTCCCCATCTTGCTGCCTGCCTTTGATGTTGGGCAGGACTGGGGAAAAGGTGCTAACCAGTCCTGCACCCGAGTGTCAAGCGGCCTCAGACAGGAACTTGGATCTGATATATGACTGCTCTGTCATACTTCAAGAGCAAACCCAGTCATAGCAAGACTGAGGACACAGTTGACATCATGGGTCCTACTTAACCCCATCCCTCCCTGCTGATCCTGTTGCCCTGGAAACAAGAGTTTGCTCCAAGGACAACTGGGAGAGGGATACAATTTCAGGCGACAGCAGAGTCCTCTCCTTGGCCCCTCACGCCTTGCTCTCTTGGACTGTAATCCTTTACCCAGTTCAATAAATGGCGACCAAGGGCTCTTTATGCATGAACACAGAGCTAGACCCCAAGGGGAGAGAGATGAGGAAGATCTGCCATTTCCCCTCAATAAGGGAATAATTCCAGAGAAGGAGGCGGACAGCTGCACAACTGAAAATACAAGGAAGAGTTGGATAATGCCATAATTGAGGTGAGTGATCTGAAGGAGACAGACTGCTTCTGGATGTGTAGAGGGAGGGTTCTATTCTTCTTTCACCTGCACTCCTTCAGAACTCTCCAAAGCATCAAGACCACGCTCCCAGGAGTGCTCGGTTACCAGGGCTACAAGCCTCATGTGACTCTGAGCTTCTTGGTTTTTTGTTTTGTTTGGCCACACCACATGGTGTGTAGGATCTTTGTTCTCCAACAGGGGATTGAAACCCATACCCTCGGCAGTGAAAGCACCGAGTCCCAACCACTGGACCACCAGGGAATTCCCCACTGTGAGCTCCTCCAGGGCAGAACTATATTTACAGCCTGCCCTCTTTCCAGACAGTAAAGAATCTGCCTGCAATGCAGGAGACCTGGGTTCGATCCCTGGGTCAGGAAGATTCCCTAGAGAAGGGAATGGTTACCCACTCTGGTATTCTTGCCTGAACAATTCCATGGACAGAGGAACCTGATGAGCTACAGTTCATGAGGTCGCAAAGAGCTGGACATGACTGAGCGATTAACACTTTCACTCTTTCTGGATGTCCAAGCATCGAGCTTTGCACATATTAGGCATTTGAAAAAAAGAAAAGATGAACCAAATCATTTCACTGGATTCGACACATTCCTTGATGGCAGAGGCCATATCTAATGAGTCTCTGATGTCACGTGGTAGAAACAGACAGACAGATAGGGGTTTAATTTTAGACCATAACCTTGGGTACTTTACTGAAACTCTCAGGATGGGTTTTCCCATTTGGAAAATGGTGACAACCGGACCAACCTCACAGGAGGACTATCTGGATTAAACACCAAGCTGTGCATTAAGTGGCTGCACAGAGTCTGACTCAGAGCAGGTCCTCAGCAAGTGCTAGTTTCCTTCCTCTCTTCTCTGTTTCTCCACTGAGTCCTTAGTGAGGCGTTTTAGCCAGAGCAGGCACACAACAGAGCTATGGAGAATTCCAAGGGAAGCTACTGATGACTTCGTCCCCTGAAAATGGCCAACAGTTAACATCTGCTCATATCACCGAGCAGAGAGATCTCTGTCTAAACTGATACCCAACCCCCCCCCCCAAAAAAATTGCTCATCATGTCTCTTAGCCAGAGATAGTCACTTAAGGAAGTGGCTCAGATCTCTGTCTAAACTGATACAAAAGCAATTGCTCATCATGTCTCTTAGCCAGAGATAGTCACCTAAGGAAGTGGCTCAGGTGTTGAAGGAGAAAGTGCTGAGAAGCTGGTTACCCTGGAACCCTAGATCCTGGGGGTGGGGTCCTCGTAAATGTACCTTGACGCATTGGATGTTGGTCCCATTCATACTGCCACTCCTGTCGATGAGGAAGATAAACTCCCCACGGGTCTTCCTCAGGTTCGGCTGGACTGATTGGAGGTCGGGGCAGAAGTTGAGCATGATGACGGAATGGTGGGGGATGTCCTTGTGGAGGCGTTTCCGGATGATTTCTGTCTGGAGGAGAAAGGAAAACTCACTTGAGCATTCAAGGGGCCCAGAGCTACTCCTGGGGGCTCACCCTGGTGGCCCCCAACACTCTCCAAGTTTGATCAGACTCCCACTCGTCCTCTGCGTATAAGACTTCCAGGTTCCTGGCTCCTCTGCTAGATGTTCACAGGTTGCAACAGCAACAGGGACTTTGGAGGCAGAAGACCTGGGTTTGAATCTCAGCTATCACTGTCCAGCCGTGTGATGTTGGGTCAGTCCCTCCTCAGGGTTTGTTTCTTCTTTGGAAAATGGGACAAATAAGGCCCATTTCTCAGGGTGGTTCTGAGGATGAACTGGGCTGGCCTGCAGATGGGAAGGCCCTGACATGCGTGCAGGCCCCCAGCTGAATCGTGGTTTCTTTCCCTTCCACATGCAGGGATGAGCCACTCTTGGGCTCACCTTGGCTGTGAACTGGGCTTCTCTGGTTCACCGGTTCTCTCCCACTGATAAACTTCCTACTCACGCGTCAAGCTTTACCTCTTTGGAAATCCTGCCCCCATCTTACATGGACTTAATTACCTAGTTTCCTTGCCCATGGAACGAGGACAAGAGCACAAAGCTCACCGAGCCGTATGGACTAAATGCAGCTCGTGTGGGCGCCGCCCAGCAGGGCAACTGCTGCCAAACAGCAACCATTGCCGCTCTCGCTACTTGCCGTGGGACCCAGGCGTTTCTCACACTGCGAGTTTTCTTGCTCATCTGTCTCCCCTCTAGTCTGGGGGCTACTTGAAGGCAGACCCTGCTTGAGTCTCTTGCATCTCCAGGGCTCCACATGGAGCTAGGAATAAAGATGGACTCAGGAAACATTAAAAGAAGGACACCACCACAATCTGTATCTTTTCATGGACTCTCTTAGCTGGCCTTCTCCTGCTGCTACTGAACTGTCTTTGACTCTTGCAGTCATCTCTGCACCAAATCTCTTTTTCTCCATCCTCACTGGCACCCTGTCTCACCATCCCATCTTTCTCTGTCTCTGACTGTCGCTGTGTGTACATGTCTCTCTCTGTTTCTCAGTCTGTCTGGGTCCCTTTCTCAGTTCAGTAGGTGACATCACCATCCGCCCAGGTGTTTAAAGCAAAGACCCAGCAGTCATCCTTGACTCTCCCTCTTCCGCATCCTATCGATATCTACTCCCTCAGGAGAGGACCGCCAGCTCTGTAGCTCAAATACCTTCTGAACGTGTCCTCTTCTCTCTCCCCACTGTAAACACCCAAGTTGGGTTTTCCTGGTGGCTCAGATGGTAAAGAATCCACCTGCAATCCAGGAGACTTGGGTCCAATTCCTGGGTCGGGAAGATCCCCTGGAGAAGGGAATGGCAACCCACTCCAGTACTCTTGCCTGGGAAATCCCATGGACAGAGGAGCCTGGCGGGCTACAGTCCGTGAGGCTGCATAGAGTCAGACACGACTGAGTGACTAATACTTTCACTTCACTTTCTTTTTTCAGGACCTTTGCCTGGACCTGTGCAATAGCCCCTTCCTGGCCTCTTTCCTCTCCTTTTCTCTCCCTGTGGGCTATTGTATACAGAGCAGGCGGTGCGATCATTCTTGTTATTCTCTTGCTTAAGCGACAGTGTCCTCTCATACCTGTGCCAGGGCTCATGAAGCCCCTTATGAGTTGACCCCTGCCTACCTGGCCACCTCGTGTTTGCCCCACACTTCAGGTCACAGGCGGCACATTTCTGTCTTCCAAGCACATCACCATTATTCTGCCTCCAGTTCTTTGCACATTTTTCCAGGGTTTCACAATCCACTGGGTCTCATCCTGAGATAAGCTTCCTCTAAACACTTTGCAAAACAGCTCCCAGGACTCATCACTCATTATCCTATCATCCTGTTTTAGGTCTTTCACAGTCCCTAGCCCTTGCTCGACTGATCTTGCTCATATGCTTGGGCTTCTTGTCTGTTTCTCTGTGCTAGAACGTAAGCACCAGGAGGAAAGGATGTGACATTTTCAGTCTTCCCCGTGCCTAGAACAGAGCCTGATGCCTGCTGGGCACTTACTGTTTGTTGAATGAATAAATGAGAAGATGAATCTCTGTAGGCTTTTCTGTCTGCTACTGACCTGTGTACATCATTTTTTTTCAGTCTGTCTCTCTCTCTTTCTTTTGTCTCTGCTTCTCTCTGCATTTCCATCTGTGTCTCCCTCTGTGTCATTTGCCCCCACTTTGTTAAATCACAGTTTTTGACAGCTCAGCCCACCCAGCTCTTCCTGATTGATGCCTCTGGGTGCTCCCCTCCCTCCCTGGTGAGGGATCAGGTCCTCCCTCCCACAGGGAGGTCCTTCGCCAAAAGCTACTGCCCGACAGGGCTCTCTAGATGACAGAGCCCGAGGCAGCAATGGCCACATCAGCGACAGGAGCCTGATTTTTGCCTCTTGGAGGGTCGGGGTGGGAGCCTCGGGCTCAGGATTCTCTGCTGTCTCCTTGAGCTGCCATTATCCAATTACAATAAACTCATCATTTCTTAGCAGCTGCGGGTTGATGGCTGTCATCCCTGAAGCTCATGAGACTACAGGGTATTTGCATAACCAACCCAAGGTGGCAAATTAATTCTCATTTGCTCTGGCGGTCCCAGAGCTAATTGATTTAAGGCTTGGCAGGCAGGCAGGCAGGAAGGCTCACCGCCGACTCCCCCTGCCTGCACGCTGTGGTTCTCGGAGCCCAGTGTCACCCCGGCATTGCCACCCCTACTCTTGAGAACCCGGCTCCAGCCTCTTCTCCCAACTGACTCACCTCTGGGAGGGCAGATGTTTCCAGCAGGGTCTTCAGGGTAGGGGTGGGCCCTGAGCCATCTATTCCTTCCCTTGACAGTCTCCCCCACCTCCCGCCAAGCAGGGGCCTTCAGGTGGGAGCTCTACCAAAGGGAAGGATATCAGCTGTAGGTTTTCTCTGCATTCCTGTCTGTTCCTCTCCACTGTCCTCTGCCCGTCAGGCCGGCAGGGGCCAGAGGGGCCCTTAAATTCAGTGCAACCGCCCCACTTGAGCGGGGCAAAGTCCTTAGCCTCAGTGTCACGAACGCCAACTCCCTTTTCCCAGCTCACCCGTTATTGTGGGTGCTAAGCCGCAGTTTTCTCATCTAAAAAGGGAGATGATAAAAAGCAGTGTGCCCTGATTCTTGAGCCTACCTTGGCACTCAGGACCCAGGGCACTGTGCAGTGACCTCGGCAGGAGGGAGACTGCGGTGGTGGCTTGCGGCTGAGGCTCAGCATGCTCTCACCCCCTTCCCCACCGCCAGTCCCTGCTGAGGACCCCCTTATCCATTAACTTCATGGGGTAGGGGCGGGCAGAGGGAGAGGGCTTCCCCGGCTTCCCCGGCTCTGCCTTTATTCTTTACCTAATAGCAAGCAATGATCCCAGAGGAAGGCAAATCAAGAGACTGAGCGACTTTCACTTTCATACTTTCAGGCACCTGGATGGCACTAGGAGCAGGTGGCCTCTCAGAAGGCGGGATCATCAGCTCGCTGTGTGGCCTCAGGCGAGTCCCCCCACCCCACCCCTGGGCTCAGGCTTCTCACTGGCCCAGCGAGGCCCAGTGCCCAGAGCCACCCCAGCTCTGCCACCACTGAACTGGCCCAGCGAGGCCCAGTGCCCAGAGCCACCCCAGCTCTGCCACCACTGAACTGGCCCAGCGAGGCCCAGTGCCCAGAGCCACCCCAGCTCTGCCACCACTGAACTGGCCCAGCGAGGCCCAGTGCCCAGAGCCACCCCAGCTCTGCCACCACTGAACTGGCCCAGCGAGGCCCAGTGCCCAGAGCCACCCCAGCTCTGCCGCCACTGACGTCTCTCAGTCACCCTCACCTTTCGCTCTGCACTGCTGTCCTTCTTCATCCCTTTGATGAAATCTGCTCTTCCCTTCAGGTGCTGGTCGAACTCCCCCAGGGTCATGTCCCCTTTCTCCATCAGGACATGTGGCATGTGGGGCTCTGCAGAGACGAGACAGCACTGTCGAAGCGTGAGGGCAATGCGGGGGACCTTGGTGGAGGGGTGGATCTTCACTATGGGGAGGACTCCCAGTTGGAAGAGGGGGATGGGATCTCTGGCCATTTGAGGCATGTGGGGCCGTGAAAAGACTCCTGAGCTGGGAGGCAGGAGAGTGCGTGACTCGACTTTACCCATCTGTAAAATGGGAGTGATCCTGGGCTCTGATCTTTTTGCATCTTGACAGTCTATGAATTTTTAAAGAGATAAGAGTTGCTCCCTGAGGGTTCAGAACTGTTGGGGTCTCACTAAGCTTAGGTGTTCAGCTGACCTGAGCGCAAAGTGCACCAATGGGTGGATGAGACAGTGGGGCCTCAGGAACTGAAATGGGGCAGGGGACACTCAACTCTGCCAACTAGAGCCACGTTTACACGGAAACAAGTTGTTGGCCTCCTCTCCTCTGCCATGTAGCCTGCCCTCTCCCTGGCCACAGGGCGGCGGGGGTGGCAGCTGTCTGTGTGCCCTGGGATCAGCGCCTCCTCCCTCCCACCGGCAGCCCCGGGGGCCCCGCCGGGGGCACAGTACCGCTGGGGTGGATGAGGATCTCCACGGGCCGGTCGAAGGTGTGCCTGTTGGCCAGGGTGACGATGACGCTCTCGGCCGAGCTTGCGGACGGGGCGGCGTCAGCTCGGATCTCGTGGGTGGGACTCTCTACCCCTGGAGTGGCGAGAAAGGGGGGACAGGTGCAGGGCCCCCAGGGAGAGAGGGGTTTGGTGGGGGGCCTGGAGACCCAGGCCGAACATGACTGCCACTCCAGCCCTGTCAGGGACTCCTGACCTGCTGCTGTGCAAAACTGTGGACAGCCCTTCTCAGTTTCCCCGTCTGCAAAATGGGAGTTTATCGAGACTCGGTCAGATAGCCCCTCCTGCCCTGACCCCGGGACCCAGTGGAGGTTAAAGGGGTGGCTTCCTCTTAGGGGACAGAGACAAAAGGAGCTCCCCGCTCCGTCAGACGGCCCTCCATCAACGCCTCACATGTTGGGATGTGCACTCCATCAACACTTCTCGTGTTGGGATGTCGGCTTGCTCTGGCAGAACACTCATGGACCGAAACCACATTCTTTTAAAGTCTTGACTGGGAGGGGGACGGGGACCATCAGAACAGTGGTGCCTGACTCTGGCTCCTATTAGAATCACTGGGAGCTTTGCAATGTTTCCGGTGTCCGGGGCTCTCACCCCAGACCAGTGTCATCATCAGAAGCTCTGGGGTGGGATCTAGGTGGCTGGATTTGGAAAGTCACCCCACTGAGGAGGAGGACCCCTCACCCCCACCCCAGGGGAGGGCCGGAGAAACATCTTTGTGGCTGTGGCCTCCTGGAGAGGGCCTTGGACCTCCAACCTCAGACTTTGGACTGCTATGCCCTTGTGGACATTTCCCCAGGGAAGCCATGGCGGGGGGGCGGGGGTGGTTGGTGGGCACAGTCTTAAAATCTGTCCTCGGGAAAGAGTCCTGTTGGGCTGTAGGTTGGCCACAGGCTGTTGTCTGCTTGGGCCGGCCAACTTTCTCTCCCTCCCTTCCTCTCCCCACCCCGGGACCTCGAATCTTCTTTCCAGCCCCATCAGGGTCTAGGCAGCTCCTCTCACCTGCGAGCAGGCAGGGCCCACGAATCTCCAGCTGGAAGTTGAACTCGTATTCCATGGGGTTGGACACGTCGGTGTCCAGGAGAGTCGACAGGCACAGTCTGTTCCAGGAGTCCAGGGCCCGGCTGCCAAAGCAGTGCTTGTCTCTGCTGGGAAGGGGGGCCGGGGGCAGGGGAAGAGACTCAGCAAGATGGGAGCACTGGCTTCAGTTCCCACACGCGCACTTGGCAGAGCGTACATCCTCACCCAGTCTCTCGGATTCGGCCATGGGATGGTTTGTGTAACGTCGCATCACATCAGGACTCCCTGCTCTGTCTCTGGGAGCTGGGGACCCTTGCCTGAGCCACTGCTCCTCTGAGTCCTGGTTTTCTCGTTGAATAGGGATCATAACGGCACAGCTTTCTCCCGTGAGTGCTCAGCAAAGCGTCATCTGCTGCCCGGTCGCTGTGGCTGGCCCTCTGTCTGTCCCTCACCCGTCCCTCATCCCGCTCTATTTCCCTCCCCTCCACGGCCTTGCCCTCTGAGGTTTTTGCTTTGTGTTCTAAAAATGCACATAGTGTTGTAAGAGACATGATGACATTTGGTTGAAAGGATGGCATTGTGTTAGGAATCTCATTCAGCTGCTTCCCTTTTTTCACCCAGCGCTGCGTTTTAAAGGCCTGAAAACCTTCTTTGCTGCTGCTGTGGTTCAGCTTGTTCCCCTGGTGGCTCATCGGCAAAGGATTCGCCGGCTGACACAGGAGACTCGGTTCGATCCCTGGGTGGGGAACATGCCCTGAAGGAGGAGATGGCAACCCGCTCTAGTATTCTTGCCCAGGAAATCCCATGGACGCAAGAGTCTGGCAGGCTACAGCCCACGGGGTTGCAAAAAGTCAGACACGACTTAGCGACTAAACAGCAATAACAACGGTACGACCTGAGGGCCTCTGTTATATTGTCCTGGTTTCTTCCTGCCTCCACATCCCTCCATCCGCAGGCCACCCCCATGAAGATCCTCATCTGCGTTCCCTTTTTGGGCCTTTGGAAGGATTTATCTGGGATCCCTGGGTCCAAGGGCACACATCAAGTGTCACCAGATTGCTTTGCAACGTGGCTGGCCAATGTTCACTGGGCCCCAGCAGTGAATGAGAGTTTCTCTCTTCATCCTCACTAACGTTTGGTATGGTCTATTTTTCTTATTTTTTCTCATGTCCCTCTGTCTAAGCCACTTTTTCATCGGAATTTGATGCAGGCAGGTGTTTGCGTCCCCTGCAGTCCCAAGGGTGTGTCTGTTTACTCTTCCCTGCTGGAATGGGCAGGAATCAAAAATTTATCAGGGCCACCTCAGGGGAACTGGGCACTCCTCCCAAGTCTCTTGTTCCTTGGCTCACTGAGGTCTGAATGTCCCCAGCTCTGCTAGGTCTTGCCTCTCAGATGTACCAGGCTTGCATTTACGAAGCATTTTGCATTTACAAATGCACTCTGGCGGCATTTACAAAGATGACACATGGCTGGTGTTCACTGGCCTGAGGCTGGCTGGTACCACCAGCTTCTCTGCTGTGCCAACAAGTGTCCTCACTCTAGATTTCGAGGCCCTCCTTGGTCTGATTCCAGCCTTCCTCCCCCATTTGCTGTGTTCATACGGGCCTTCCTGCTGCTCTTCAAACACGCCAAGCCTGGCACTGCCTCAGGGCCTTTGCACTTCCTGCCCACTCTACTCCCTGCTCAGAATGTTCTTCCTCCAGATGATTTCCATGGACTGCTCCCTTCATTCAGATCAGGCCACAGATGTTGCCTCAGTTCAGCTCAGTCTTTCAGTCGTGTCTGACTCTTTGTGACCCCATGGACTGCAGCACGCCAGGCTCTTCTGTCCATGGGATTTCCCAGGCAAGAATACTGGAGCGGGTTGCCATTTCCTCCTCCAGGGGATCTTCCTGACCCAGGGATTGAACCCACATTTCCTGCATTGGCAGGCGGATTCTTTACCACTGAGCCAACAGGGGAGACCAATGATAAGATGCATCAAAAGATGCCTCCCGTATGCAGCAGGCCTCTTAAACCTGGCATCCTCTCTCCCTGTGGAGGAAACACTGGTCCCCCTGGGTCCACAGGTGGGGAGACAGGTGGATCCCTGATTTCAGCTACAGTGCCTCAGGCTGTGACCCCCTTTTCCCTCCTCCCCACCCCCAGGGAGAGTACAGAGAAACTCTCCTGGAATGTCCTACCCGACCCTGCTGAAAACCCTTGTTAATGGGTCCTTATTGCTCTGGGGAGAAAGCCAGAGTTGGCCAGGGCCACAGGGTGCCCTGTATCTCTGCAGCCTCATCTCAGGCCACTTCCTCTCCGGGGCCCCGTCCTTGCTGCCTCGGGGCCTTTGCCCCCGCTGTTTCCACCTATAGGAACGTTTCTCTCTGTGCCTCGTCCGTCTGCCTCCTGGCTCAACCTTCAGCTGAAACATCACTCCTCAGAGAAGACTGAGCTGGCCCCTGGACCCCAGGGGTTTGGTCCCTCTTTTATATTCCTAGCCAATGGACGTCTCTTCCACATAATTAATTATGCATGCAAAGTTCACAAACAGCTCACATTAGTTGTGTTATTGGTTGGATAACAATCTCTTCCACCATGTTCCGAAAAGGCGGGAACCGTGTGCATTTGTCCCTTCTGTGTTCCTAACACCCACCCCAGTGTCTAGCACATAGTGCGTGCTAAGTCGCATCAGTCGTGCCTGACGCTTTGCGACCCCATGGCCTGTAGCCCGCCAGTCTCCTCTGTCCGTGGGACTCTCCAAGCGAGAATACTGGAGTGGGTTGGGTTGCCATTTCCTTCTCCACTAGCACACAGTAGGTGCTCTGAAAATGCCTCTTGAGTGCATTAAAGTATAAAGCCTGGATATTCTGATCCCAGTTCCAACGCTTCTGATCGGTATCAACATCAGGCATTTCAGGGAGATTCTTTTTTTTTTCCTCTTGGCTGCACTGCATGGCTTATGGAATCGTAGTTTCCCAACCAGGGATCGAACCCATGCCCCCTGCGTTGGAAGCTCGGAGTATAAGCACTGGACCACCAGGGACGTCCCAGGGAGAGTCTTAGGTGCTCTAAAAGTGAGCAGGGGAGGGGCAGTCACCGCGAGGTGGCAACTACAGGGCTTAGCATCACCGCCCATCTCTATCTCCCCCACCGCGACCCCCCCCAACCCCACAACCCTGGCCTTGTCTGGCAGGGGCTCCTCACCCGTGGACCTGCTGGCTGGGGGCGCCGGTGCTGTCCGTGCAGAACTGGGGCACGGTCGGGGCACAGACAGCAGGCAGCAGGACCCGCACGGCCCCGCTGGGCAGCGTCGGGAGCTCCGAGGAGGTGCTGACGAACACGGTGACGTTCTCCATCGGGGCGATGGTCCCCAGGTTGACCACAAAGAGGATCCGCTCCAAATCCTCGTCCAGAGCCACCTTTCCTGGGATAATGGAACGTTTGCAGAATGGTTCCTACGTGCCAGGCCTGGAGGCAGGGGCCGTGGGCACCTCTCTCACCCCCTCTAAGCTTGCTGTGTGTTAGGTTAGAGGAGCTTGTGCGCGGATGGGAAAACAAGCAGCGTGGGGGCACAACGAGTACAAGTAATTTAACAAATAACTAATTTATTGAACCAGGATCTGAACCTACGTGGGCCTGACGCCAGGCCTGTGTACTGTGCACTGTGCCCTGCCGGGAGTGGGAGGCTGGGACCCACTAACCCCCGATGGAGGGTCACAGCTCCATCCCCAGACTCTATGTCCCCCCAGGATTTACACCGGAGCGTCTCACCTCCCCCAGAATCCATGCTGTTTCTCTCCATCTGAAAGGCCCATCCCTTGTTGTTTCTTAGCCCATCTTACCCACCCATCCAATCTCCCTTGTCCCAGTGGCGCCTTCTTTTCCTCCTCTGACATTATCTGGACCGTTGTTTTTGGCACAGCCACTTTCAACTTCCTTTCATAGTCGCTCCCTGGCACGCCCTAGCTGTTCTCCCAGGCTGGGATAAGTTCTAAACTTTTGGGGGGCAACTTTGCATCTTACACAGCATGGGTGTTCAAAGGTTCTTGAACATTGGTGATCAGGTGAACAAACTTCATTTCCATCACAGATCCAATGGTGAGAGTCTGTTATATCTGGACTCAATTCTTGGCTCTGCCACTAACATGCTCTGTGACCGTGGGCCGGTCACTCACCCTCTCTGAGCCTCAGTATCCTTCACAGCAGGAACCCATAGCCATTGTGTGAGTGCTGACTCTGCACCAGTGACAGTGATGAGCGTTCTGCACGCTCTTTGTTGAGATTTCGATGGATTATTAGTTACATTCTATAAAGCAAGGCTTCACTTCTTATATAAGCTTGCAAGCCACAAGACCGGCAGTCAAATCTTGGTATGACTCACTCCACAACCTCTAAGCTTAAAGGATATGCTTTTCTGGTTTTTAGAGATGTCTTAAAAACCCTTTTTGTTGCCTCCTTTGACCCTTACCACTCTTTCCAAGTGAGAGGAGAAACAACTGCCTGTTTTACAGACAGTAAGGTGAAGTTCAGAGAGGTTAATTACTGGGCCATGGTCACACAGGATTCCCGACTCTTAGCACAGTGCTCTCTCTACCCGATCCCACTGCTCCCCTTTCGGTCTGCCCGAGACTCCAGCCACGCCCAGGTCCTGCCACAGCCCCTCCAACCCTCTTACCTGTGACAGTCGCAGCTCGAATGCCGGTAGCCTCAAAGTGGCCACCCTCTATTTTGGCTTTGTCCTTGATCTGTACCGTCACGACACGGTCCGCGATGACCGCCTCAAAGCCGATCACCGTGGTGTACTCGTCCAGGGGGTACACAAAGAGTCCTGGCAGAACGGGGCCCGGCGTCACGGGGCGACCCCGCGCCGCTCGGCGTGCCCACCCCCCGGGATGGAACCAGAGCCCTTCGTCTCCATTTGAGTGCACCATAGCGTTCACTGCCACTTAGAGCGCCCCCGAGGGGACTCGGGCCGGGCCCCCGGCTCGAGGGCTGGACAGGATGTGTAGGGTGGCAGGCTCTGCCTCAGTGGTGGGGGTAGCTCAAGGGACAGTTTCTCCCCCGTCCCAGCCATCTCTTTCTCCGGCAAGCTCACCACGACCACCCAGTACTCTGCCCACCTGCCCCACCCCTCGCAGCCCCAGTGGGTAGAAAACAGAATGAAGAGACTGAACCTCTAACACGGGCAGCCTCATCCACACTCTTTAGGGAGGAACTGGACTCACTGCCGGGCAGGAGCCAAGATATGCCCCTCAGTGGCCCTAGGCTGGTCTCTGCAGAGCCTTTGGGAGAAGGGGGCACTCCTGCGGATGCCTCCATGGACTCTGGGCCTCTGAGAAATGTCCTGACCACTTCCTCCCCAGAGATTTGCCTCCACCTTCATCCCAGGTTTTAGAGTACCCCATCCTTCTGGTTCCACTGGTGTGGCCAGGGTTTTTGATTTTTCAAGAGAGACCGGCAATCTGGGTTTTTATGTGACCTGTTGTGCAGGTCTAACAAGACACCTCTGCGTGGTGTCTTATCACCCGTGGTGCCCAGGAGCTGGTCTTTGGAGGAAGAGGATTAGGGTTCTAATCCGAGCCCTGCCCCCTCCCCCAGTCCGGTGACATTCTGCATCTCTAAACCTCAGAGCCCCGTCTGAAGATGGGGATGATGGAGTCAAACTCAGGGTCGTTATGAAAATGGGGAAAACAGCCACCATGACTGAGCCCCCTCCCCCGTGGGGTGCATCCTACATTATGTCTCACTGCAGTGCTCCTCAGACTTTAAGAAAACGTGAGTCACCTGGCGGGGTGGGGGGTGGGTCTGGTTAAAATGCAGATTCTGATTTGGTAGTTCTGGGGCAGGGCCCGAGATTCTGCGCTTCTAACCAGCTCTGGGTGATGCCGATGGCTGAGAGAACACACTTGGAGAATCGAGGTCCTATCTTGTTTAATCAGCCCACTAACCCGGGGGCAGCACAGTGCCAGGACCATGGCGAGCTTTCCATAAATCCCAGTTTCCCATCCTTCTGAGCCTCAGTCTCCTCGTCTATAAAATGGGGGGACTGGTTTTTCTGCACATGGAAAGCCAAAAGACTGTCTTAAAGCTGTTCAGTAATATAGTCTCCTTGGTTCCCCGTGAGTCTCACGTTAAGCCATCCTCTGTAGGTTTCCTGAAACAGAGGGACAGGATCTTTGTTCTGCCCGGAAGATTTCTGTGGGGAGGAAAGTTTCCCCTGTAGGTTTCTTTTGGGAACTCAAAGGATTGCAGACACTCAGGTCAGGTTGGAGGGTGGGTGCCCCAAGACGTGAAGTTTGGGAGTTAGGAGGCCCGCACCACTGTGGATGAGAAGGGATGCAAAGCATATCTAGCCTTTATACATGACCTTCCTGGCCAGGCTTCCTATAACTCCCTTCCTTAGGTGCAAAGACAAGAGCGCAATTTACAAGCAGCTCTCGCAGGGGAACGTCCGTACAGCGTCCTGACTGCCGCACACTGATGGCTCACGTTCGCAGACTGTTTTCCACTCCACGCTGCCCCTCCTCACGCATTTCCTCATCTGCCTCTCCCTCAAACCCTGGCGTCCAGATGGACGGCGGCTTCCCCAAGGTCACGGGGACGAGAGCCACACTGAGCACTGGGAGTTCCTGGCTTCCAGTGAGTCCAGACGCCTCTCTGGTGAGACTCCCAGGGGGACATGGAGGACTGACTATCTGACAGGTGAGCGTGACTTGTGGACGTCGAGAGGGCTGGGGCAGAGCCCAAACCTGGCTCCAAATCCTGACCTGACTTGCCACCGGCTTTAGGACCTGTCGGGCAGAAATGGTATGCCTACTTTGCAGGTGGGTAAACTGAGGCTCAGAAAGGTGGCATGACTTGTCTGATGTCAGCTGGCAGATGCATGTCAGGACGGGGGATTCAGCATGCCCGTGGTCCTGGGGAAGCCCCCGCAGGGCCCCTTACCCTGGAAGGGCTGGGCTTCCAGGTTGCCATAGGTGAGGGAGGCGGTGAGCCCCAGGGCGTAACCGCTGACGAAGGAGGTGACCTCGGACGCGGTGAGGGGCAGGGCCGCCCCTGTGATCTGGTTCAGCAGACCCGGCATCTCGTGGGTTACTCGGCCTTCAGGACCTGCTAGAGATGGCAAGGCAAGAAGTGGGGAGAGGCCCGCCCTGCCGCCTGGCTCAATTCTCCCCCTTCAGCCTCCACAGGCAAGCAGAGCATCATTCTCTCCATTTCCCCAGACACTTCCCACAGTGACGCCCAACCACCTCTCAGAAGAGAAGGCATGATTCTTTCCTTTGTTTTCACATCACAGGAGAGGAACTGAGGCCTGCAGACACGCGACCTGGCTGGATTCACTGTGGGTCTCCCAGCTTCCACCGCATCCCTCAGATGAGACCTGTGTGCTCTCAAATCTTTGTCCCTGCCACACTCTACCTGGAAAGCTCACCCCGTGAGCCAAAATAAGCCAGCCACCCCCACTGCCCTTAGCTGTCAGCCCAGGGCCCCCTTTGCAGGGAAGCCAGTCCACCCGTGCCAGGCTTTGCAGAGCCTAGCCTCTCCCATTCCAGTAGTCCGTCGCGATTCATCCTGTCTCCATGAGATTATGTTATTCACGTCTATCATCCCCTTTAGGAGAAGGAAATGGCAGCCCACTCCAGTATCCTTGCCTGGAGAATCCCATGGACAGAGGAGCCTGGCGGTCTACAGTCCATGGGGCCACAGAGAGTCGGACACGACTGACTGACTCGGCAGCGGCAGTCTCATCCCCTTTGCAGAGTATGCTCCTGGTCTATTCTTTGCTTTGCATGGCATCCAAAGTGCTGATTGAACACGTAAAAGCATGGTTGGGGACTCTCCTGGTGGTCCAGTGGTTAAGAACCTGCCTGCCAACACCGGGGACACAGGTTCGATCTCTGGGTCAGGAAGATCCCACATGCTGGGGAACAACAAAGCCTGTGGGCCACAACTACTGATGCCCATCTGCTCAAGAGCTTGTGCTCCACCACTAGAGAAGCCGCCATAGCGAAAAGCCTGCAGACTTTTCACCCTTGCTGCATCTGGAGAAAGCCCATGTGCAGCAAAGAAGACCCAGCACAGCCAAAAAAAATCCCACAAAAAGATGGCTGTCATCATTCCAACACCAGTGACTTCAGAGCGCATTTCAGGGCAGGGTGCTGATTCTCTATGAGGTTCCTGAGGCCCTCCCAGGCAATCACCTGCCTTTGAGAGGTGGTGGTAGGAGTGGAAAGCTAAGCTGACCAAAGGGTGCAGAATACGAACTTGAGGTCTTTTTGGGGTCTTCTTCTGGGTGATGGATGCACCAGGCGAAGCCGCAGCGGGCTGGCAGCCTGTTGCTGTTTATTTGCAAGGCTGTTCTGTGACTGCTGATGACCCTGTCTTTTCTCGAAGAAGGGAACTCTGTGCTTTAACATACTTGTGTTCCCAAGCAAGGATCCTCGGGTGCTCCCACCCTCTCTGCCAGCCCGGGAGTATCGTTTTAATTATGTTCTCTCTGTGGCTCCAGCCCAGACAGCTCTCAGACCCCCGGCTTATCTGCAGCAGGCTGAGTGACAGCAGGAGGCAGATAAGGAGCCAGGAGAGGGGGCTGGATTCCCAGCCGCCTTCTCCTGGGAGGTCTCTGTCTCAAAGCCCAGGGTGAAGCCAGGGGCAGAACCAGATGTCGGGGCTCCTTTGCTGAGACAGTCACATCCCCTGCCCTCCACACTCCTTCCCTCCACCTCCTCTTCCTGGTTCCCTCCTGTCCAGAAGGCTGATGGCGAGCCAGCCCCCAGATGTGTGGGGAACTTGGACTTCAGCTTGGGTTCATCCTGGGGTGGGGCTCCATGGGTAAAGAATCCGCCTGCAATGCAGGAGACACAAGAGACTTGGGTTCAGTCCCTGGGTTGGGAAGATTCCCCCGGAGGAGGACATAGCAACCTACTCCAGTATTCTTGCCTGGAGAATCCCCTGGACAGAGGAGCCTGGCAGGCTACAAGTCCACAGGGTTGCAAAGAGTAGTATGTGACTGGGCGACGAAACACGCATGCTCAGGGTGGAGTTTTGCCAAGGGCTCCTCAACCAGCCCAGTCACGCTGCACTGCATTCATTCCCCTTTCCCTCCCCTCTCACCTCTCTTTCCCTCCCCTCTCACCTCACCAGCCCATTTTCCAGATCCTGCATCCCAAAGGTTTGGGGGAAAGACAGGTGCTCTGGCCGATCAGGAAGGAGATGAGGAGGGTAAATGCCTAGTTACATACTGACCCACTGAGATCAGCCCCTGTCAGTCTCTGGACCAATTCACACCGCTCTGTTCCTGAAGCCGAGCCTGGCTTCTCACACCGTCCAGGGGGCGCTGGCGGCTTCCTCCCGATGAGGTCGCTCCTGGGTGATGCCCGCCGGGCCCCAGGCTGGCATGGTTGCAGGGATGATGCTCAGCGCTCCTGGCACTGGTCCCCATCTCTCACAGGGATGCCCCTGGAGTCCTCCAGGAGAAAGTCCCACCCAGGCACCCCTGGAACCCATATGCCCTTGGGGGGCCCCAAACTCATGTGCAAAGCACACACAGCTCTTTGAGGGAATGAATGGACTGGCAGAAGGAATGGGAGGGGCTGCTTGAGTGCAGAGGAGGCATGAGGAGAGCGGTGGGTGGAGAGAGGGTTTCTGAGAGAGGAGCCACTTTAATCCCTGGCCGTTCACTCCCTGTTTTATGAACCAGGTGGGACTTCCCTGGTGGTCCTGTGGTTAAGACTCCGTGTTTCCAATACAGGGGGCATGGGTTCTATTCCTGGCTGGGGAAGTTCCCTAAGCTGTGCAGCACAGCCAAAAAAAAAAAGGGGGGGGCGGGGGGGGAATAAACAAAAACAAAAACAAAAAATCCCAGGTGAGTGGAAGGGCCAATAGGTCCTATCTCACTGGCACTGCAGATTAAACCGAGTAATGTATAAAGTATCCAGCACAGTGCCCGGCACGTAGCAGGCACTCAATAAATATTTGTACAGTGAAATGAACGAATGAATGCGGGCAGTCTCCTAGGGACACTAACCCTTAGTGCTCACCTACGTGCTGGGCAGATGGTGGAGGACAAGGCCGATGTGGGATACGAACTGACGGAGGTGACAGATACCAAATAAAGCTGCAAGCCAACAGATTCACAACCTGACTCCTTGTCTCTGCCACTGCTGTGAATTGCTTGTCCCCCAGCGAAGTCTGTTCCCAGTAAAGCAGCCAGAGGGGTCCCGAGAAGTCAGGGGTCCAGTCATATGGTCCCAGAGTTTGCCCCCCTGCCAGCTCTCCACACCCCTCGAGACCCCCGATCCAGGCCCTGCACCGGTTTCCTCTCCGGTCTCCCCACTGGTGACTCCGCATGGCTTTTCTCCCATGGAAGAGCTTTCCCGCGGGCTGTTTCCACTTCTAGGGATGCTTTCCCCCTAGCTCCCTCCCTCCTTCAAGTTTTGCTCAAAGGACACCTTCTTGTTAATCCTGGATTTAAACTTGTAACCTGTTCCCCAAGCTTCACTTCCAAACCCTCATCCTGCTGTTTTATTTTCCCCAAAGCACGTATTACTAACATCCTCCATATAAAATATTTATTATGCTTATTGCTTATCATCTGTCTCCCCTGCAAGAGGGCAAAGATTTGGGACCTGTGTTTCTCACCGATAAGTCCCGAGTGCCTTGAGGAGTGCTTGTACTGTTAGTAGGTGGTGAGTAAACATTGTTGAATGAATCAATTGATATGTATAGTCACAGGGCAAAGCTGGCCATTTCCGAGTTTTCCAGTTTTCCAGGGGAGGGAGAGAAGTCCTCTGACCACCAGGTCCAGGGCGGCTCCTCAGGGAAGATGTTGGAATTAAGTCCATCATTTAGGCTTCCCTCCCAGAGTTTATCAGTCACGGGCCTAGATACACCCTCCGGGCCAGCATGGCGGCCCTGCCCATCTTTGAACAGACCATCTGCTGGTCCACAGAGGATGCTCTGTTGCCCTGCCCCTGAGCCAACCCCCGGGGCAGCTTCTCCCTCTCTTAATGGCCCATCACTTGGCAGCCGGCAGGCTCCTTGAGACCTCTCTGTGTGCTTGTCCGAGGACCTGCTTCCCTCCTTCCAGCAGGGGCCGCTTATTCCTTGCACCCCCCAAGTTGGGAAGCTGACGTCTCTCGGCTACATCCCGCCCCCCCCCCCCCCCCCCCGCCCCGCTCTGTGTCACTCGCCATCTTCAAGGCTCCAACCACACCCTCCTTTTAGCAAACACTTGGCCTCTGGCTCCTGGCTTGGCTCCCCAAGCCCTGCCATTGCCCAGGGGGACTTCAGCACCTGTGGGAACCGTGCTCGCAGTTTCTCGGGCTTCCATCCTCCAAACCCCACATCTCAGGAGCCACCGCTGCCTCTCCAGCTCAGCCTCCCATTGCCATGCAGTCCTTGAACTTGAGACACTGCCTGTGGTCGCTCCATCTCCAGAACCTGAGTCACTCGCACTTCTAAGGGTGGCCTCTCAACACTTCCCAGCTCTCTCTTCTTGTTTGTTTTTTCCTTTGCAGTCATCACCCTCGGATAGACTGTGTCTTCTGCTTCTGTATTTGTTTAACATGTCCCCCTGACTCTCTAGATGACGTATAACCTCTAGTGAGGACAAGAATTTTTAGCTTGTTTCTTGGCTCTATCTGCCTACCAAAGAATATTATGGGGTATAGTAGATGTTCAATAAATATTTGTCAAGTAGCTGAAACGTCATTGTGAGCGCTTTGCATATACTGCTTGGCCAAAAAATTCATTCGAGTTTTTCTGTATGAAAAACTTGAATGAACTTTCTGGTCAACCCAATACAATGCAGGCAGCACGCCACGGACAGAGGGGCCCAGTGGGCTATAGTCCATGGGGGTCGCCAAGAGTTGGCCACAACTGAGAGGCTAAACCACCAGCACCACCTCAGTAGCGGGCACGCTTACCATCCCTGTGCTGCAGATTGAACACATCAGGGCGCAGGGAGGCGAGGTAACTTCCTCAAGGCCACCCAGCCTTGGGCTGGGAGCTGACCAGAGCAGGAGGACCCCAGAGCCCCGGTCCTCAAGCACAAGGCTACCCTGCCTCCTGCAGGAAGCGTCC